AACATACATCCACAGGCACACAAACACACACAAATACAAATAAAATGTGGATGTATCCATTGGTGGAAGCAGGAGTGTGGGAAGGTGTGGAAAATCGTCAGTCGAGGGAAACCATCAGTTGTCAAAAGTATCTCGCTGCGGGTGCAAGGAATCAAAAATAATACTGATGATATTTAGAGGAAGGAAACTGCACTTTGGAGTCTGAATTACTGAGATCTTCAAATAATCATAACTGCGGTGTTATATCATACTGTTTGGGACATCATAAAAACACCATATTAATTCACAAAAACGCACGAAAAACACACATCCACATATCTTTATCGTACCCACTGCTTTTCCTGCGGGTTGGACTCCACACTTCTCCACAAGCACAAGGTTAACAGATTTTATTGGATACAGGCCCTTGAGCATGAGTCAATACCGCATGTCAATAGTTCTTATTAATAAATGGATTTCAAAGGATTTATTTTATTCACCTTAATGTAAAACATGCATTTAAAGCATGCTGCTCAGCCAGACAAGGTAAACATATGTATATAACTGTACATGAGCAGAGAGGGATTTTGTTCCGCATAAGGAATGCATAGAGAGTTGATTTTTTCCCCCCAAGTGTGCCAAAGTACAGAAAGTAACATCATGCATGCCTCCAGTCAGATGTTCACATACACACACACATTACACTCCTGCATCTGTAGTTTCACCCTCTCCTCTTCCACATACGACACACAGACACTTTAGGAACAAACCGCACACACTGCCAGGCCAGCTTGTAGTTAGATTTATGCATACATATATAATCAGCAGCCTATATAGTAACCCTGACCCTGTAGGTCTAGGGCAAGGCCACAGGGATGCATCTAAAAAGTCTAAACTACAAAGGCATTAATAATGACCTGTCCCATCTACCTCTGCAGGAGCTCAGGCATGTTGGATGGAAAAATGGATAGATGGATGAAGGATGGGCTAAAGAAAGAGGAGCACGCCACAATCACAAGTTCAGGATACAGTAAAGGAGATGACACTATGTGATGGGATCATGAGAACTTTGGTACGGGGTGATACGCAGTGTTGCCACAGTTACCTTATTTTTCAGACTAAAATTGACAGTGCGCCTTATAATCCAGCATGTTATGTATGATTATTTGTTGTGCTTACTGACTGATATTATGCGGTGCAATGCGCTCAAAAATCTGTCCTCTGAGCAGTCTACAAGACTGCCTGACTGTAATGTCTAAATTAGAAGTGCATTCATGTAAGGCAGCCCAGGCCCGGAGTATGCACTAGCAGCAATAAACCAATCAATGCCTAATGCGCCTTAGAGTCCGGTGTGCGTTATGTGTGAACATAGACATGTTTACTTAATTTTAAAAGTAACTAGGTTAGATTACAAGTTACTTTTAAGTTACATTCAACAGCCTCAACATATAAATGATAACCATTTTCTTTCTAACACTCACTTTATTGGAAGCAGGAATGTCAAAAAAATACATGTGTTTAAGAGAAAGATAAAGATAGTCTTTCTTGACAGACAAAACATAGTCTTTTTTTTTTATAAGATAAAGACAGTCTTTAAAAAAGCGGCTGTATTTACAGCTTGAGAACGTGCACCTCTCTCCTCCCTCCATTGTTGTTTATGTTTATTTTGCTGCTGCTGCTTTATGAGTGTGCACATGTATTACACATGAGTGGTCCTCATGCTGAAAATGTGACCTGTCAGACGAAAACAAATCTATCTTTTTTTTTTTTTTTTTTTACAGGAAAATGAGAAAAAAGAAACGCACACAGTGACTTGGACATGTAACTTAAATCTAACTACTGCTTTGGTAATAGCTAGATTACTCGTTACTGACAATAGTAGACTTACTAGAGTAGCACATATTGATGATTCACATAAATGTACATGTTGCAGATTTTTACGTGGATTTCCAAAGAGAGCACAGGCTTGGGTTTGGGGTTGTCTACAAAATTGGCATTCAGTGTCTGCAACAGTCAAACGGGCCGTGCACTAAAAAACATGGTCTCAGACATCCAGGTCATGGTAATTCAAACATGAATCCAAAATCTAAGCTTAGAGCTGAAGATGAGAGGCAATCATCTTTACCACTAAGTCTAGGTGACTTCTCACGTCATAATATTTACTGCACGCAATAGAAAAACGCATGAAATGTACTGTGATGACAAAAAGTAGGCTTCACGGCTGAAGTTCTCTGCTCCTGATGTAAACTGTCAGTGATGTAAACTGAACCACTTTTTGGACCAGATGGCGCTCACGTTATGTAACAACCTGTTCTGCTGCCGTCATAGGTGCCATGCATGGAGTTTGTTACTCCTCACGAGCACAATGCGCTCAGACTTCCTCATGACTGTGCTGAAATCGGGTGATTTCGCGTTGCGGATCGCAAAGACAGGCATAAAAATGTGAGTCACAGTCAAGTCATGCGAGCCCGTTTTAGAGTTATATTTGATTTGGAATCGAAAACACAATGAAACAAAGACCCTCTTCACAAAAGATTAGCACAGCTACGTATAAATATTCAAATACTTGCAATATTTCTGCAGATAAAGGGGATACATCTGCACACACGGTACATGTCACTGAGACAGCTCTTTCTCCAGCTGCTCTGCAGAAATGATAGGTGGAGAATGAGATAACAGTGACACGTCTTTATTCTTTATCTACAGTCAAAGGCAGACTCTGATGATCATCAAAGTAGAGTTACAAAATGTTACTCTGTTTTATGTGCATTTCTACACCTCAGTCATCACAACAAGATGACACCCTCAGATCCTTCAGTAAGAAAATCCACTTGCGTATGTTTTATGTTTGCTTTCATTGCTTACTTTGTCTCTGTTTTGGAGTAAATGTCACGCACTGATGGAGGCTTTATGTCCTCCGTAAGTGAAAAGAAAAATATTCGGCTATTGAAGAGAATAAAATTGCAGTGCGAGACTTCAACACATCATCTGTTATCCTGCAGAAAATGTTGTAAGAGGATACGATGCAGAAAAACATGCATGACAAGGGCACAAAAACAACAGATTTGTTGGAGTATAATGTCATTTGCACCCAGGTTGAGATGGCACATGAAAACCTCGAGCAGAAATATATCATGAGCCACACTTTTCAATATCTCTGGACAACATTTTGGTCTTAATTTGGGGAAGTGAACTCAGCCACACAGATTCTATCCTGCGAGTGTTAATGGTGTCGGTGTATTCTCTCCCTGTGTGTCTATGAGTGTGTGTGAAACAGAGACAGTTGTCAAGCCATGGCTAACTCAGTCACGCTGCCACTGAGCTCCAAACAATGACCTGAATGTAATGACAGATGACACATAGGGTGTGCGGACTCAACGCAGGACAGAACCCAAACTCCATCTGTTACTCTGCCATATTAGCTGAATATATAATGTTTAAAAAAAAGGGAAAAAGAAACACACCACAGAGTTCAAATCTGTCAAATAAGGATACATACAGCACAATTCTTTCCAGTAAAAACATCATTTTTAAGAGCATAAAGTTTGAATACTGTAGCTTCAGGGATAATTTGACCTGCAGATTCAGTGATTTGATTTTCTAAGACCTTTGCACATAAGCAACGTAAGAGTGCTGCTGGGAAATTATGACTAAACACAGAGCCAATAACGCACTGAACTCAAATTTGATTTAATCTATAAATTGGATTAGTTGAGAGAAAGCTGTCTAATTTTTAAAGTTTTGGTGTGGAAGCTTTGGTTTGAGTCCTTTTTAAATATTTTTATCCTGTTTCTTAAATATGGCAATATTCAACAACATCTACCAGTCAAACTCAAGGCTGAAATGCCCCCTTACTCTCCCCTCATATGATTAAGTGACGGTGGCCTTTTAGGACAAGAAACTGCCATGATGCATGATAATTATGAACCTCCATTTGTCCAGTCTTCACCATCAAAAATCAATACAAATTCTTCTTCTACTTCACCCAACCAGCACATTCCCTCACTCAGCAACTATGACTAAGTGTACGGCTGTAAAGTATTAATTCTGAGTGACCAAGATGGCAGCCTCCATTAAAAGGGTAGATGCTCATTTTTAGTTGATGAGAACATTTTCGATTTATTTATTTTTTTATCGGGGTTATTATAAGCTAATGTAAAGATATCTATGTTTATTGTTCCCCATTCCCATCAAATCTGTTCAAATAAATGCCACTGATTGTTACACAGCGCACCTTTGAAATTTGAAAGTGTAGAAATGATCAACTTTTAAGTTGATTAATTGTTGCTTTTAGCAAACCATACATCAAAATTCCCATTAATTTGAATGTGTTCTAAAACTAGATTAAAAAAAATCTCCACAAAAGCTTTAAAATTCTTTTAAAATTGTTCCTATTTTTTCGATTTATTAATGTTTTTTCTGTGTTCTTACATATCTAGACAATTTTTAACAATCACATTTTATTTATTTTATTGTAATTGTTTTATTAGGGTGATTATAGGCTAATGTAAAGACATCTATAAGTATTATTCCCTATTTCCATCAAATCTGTTCTAATAAATGCAGCTGATTGTTAAAACTTGGGAGTATAGAGGTTTATTAACCTCTAAGTTGATTAATTGTTGCCTTTAGCAAGCTGTACATCATAATTCCCATTAATTTGAATGCCTTCTACAACTAGCTTAAAAAAATCCCCACAAAAGCTTTAAAAATTGCTCCTGTTTTTTCGATTTATTAACGTTTTGTAGGTGTTCTTACATATCTACACAATTTTGATCAAACACATTTGGTTTTCAGACTTGTTGGACAAAATACAAAATGTGGAGCTGTAATTTCTGAAGCCAAAACATACATTTACTATGATGGATGTAATGCTTACCTTCCTACATATCATTTTCAAAATGTTGCTAATTCTAATTATAAAAGTTTCCCCAGTTTGAGACTAAAGTATGTGAGTGAACATGTGTAACTGAGTGTGTGTGCACATACCTGTATTTGTGTCGGTCTGTCCTGAAGACCTGTCATGAGTGAGGGGTTTCAGCCAAATCATCCCCAATGAGAAACTTTCCACAGCGAGCACAGCTGCTGGAGCAGGAGGCTGGGAGAGAGGAGAAACAGAGGCTGCTTTAAATGTATTTTCTACAACACTTTCTCAATTAAAGGCCCTTTTTACACATAGCACTCTGCTAATAACATAATGGCGAGTAGAATGTCATTGAGTGGTGTAATGTACCTAAATCCTTCACCAGCATTTTTAATGCTTTCATAATTGGAGCCCACTTTGGAACATTGTGCCACACAGGAGGCAGCGGTGGAAAGGCAAAGAGAAATGATTTGTAAAGATGTCCGCACTGGAAATAATAACTAGCCTTGGTGCTAATGTAGGGCTCTTTGCAAAAAGGGGAGGAAAAAAACATGCTGCTAATTGAGTTTGCCTGAAAAAAGACATTTAAAACTCATCATTTCATTTTACAGTCCTTTTTGTGGAACATTGTTAGCGGAGAGGGGAAGGGGAACACTAGCAGTGTTTTACATCCATTTGGAGGTTAATGGTCAAGTTTCAGGCTTTTAAACACAGTAAAAACTAAACTGAAAGGATTTACTTTAATTAATTGCAAAGTGTGATTTTTTTTCAATACATGTGAACTCTTGCCTTTCAAAACTTGCCTACAGGGTTTGCTCCACTTATGCAAGATAAATACCAGTTTTAGTCTTTTGCTTGCAACTGGGGTAATACGATAATTTCACCAAAACATTTTGCTGTGTTTAAAGTTGTTTTCAAACAAGTGACTCATAAATTTTGGATAAATGAGTTCTGAAATTCACCAAAAACCACTTTCTGTCTGGACTTTTTCAACAGATACGTCTAACTTTTTCCCTCCTCATTTCATCCTCCTCTTTGTTTCCCGTGTTTGGAGAGGACCGCCTCTGATTTGTGGGTCCACGCTGAGACTATACATTACCGTGCACCAGAATGACCCCTGGCCCTGTCTAAACACACCTTAATGACTCATGGTTGGTGGGCACAGCTTGGTTATAGGGCTCCGCAGGCTGAGGCTGGGGCGACAAGAGGACACTAGGCACCAGGATTGAGTGGACTCCGCACAGACATTAGCACCCTTGCTTCTAGGCTGTATTGCATCAATGTCAGTGGGTAAAAACATGTCCTCCATCTTCAAAACCACACCCTGAGGGATGAGAAAAGCACCTGCAGACCTCTTATCTATCAAAAGATAATGGCCAAAGTCAAATCAGTCTTTCTCTGAAAGCACTCAGCTGTTGCGCCTGGGAAGAATGTGGCAAGTCGTACAAATTAGCCAAAGCACCGTTAGTCGTAGATAAGAAATTGTCCTCGAACAGCACTACATCCTTTTTAGCGCCCCGTGCTTTTTCTACTGAAAAAAATGGGAGGTCTCTGGCAGAAATATCCCCTCCATATCCCCTCTGCAAAATGAAACAAGGAAAAGGGAGCTTGAGGTGAGGGAGCAGGGAAATCATTTACGGTAGCATGATGAACTGTCTGTTTCTCCCGGCAACAAACAACTTAACAGGTGCCTTAAGAGAAGAGAGTTGTCCCATAATTGTAAAAGCTTTTCTGATCATTTAACCTGCAGATCCAATCAATCAGCGAAGGAAGCAGATGTACGAGCACAGAGGCACAGAAACTGCATCGAGTGTATCACACTAAAGGTTAACAGCTCAAAGAGAAAATGGAGAAGGTTGGAAAATAAGTGGTGAGGATGTATAGCACGGACACTGGAGGTGTTTTCAGAACAACAAAAGCTTCACGCAGCTCTTTTTTCTGTCACTAAATGTACACCAGTCCAAATTTGTCAGATACATTTAACGCTGATGTTTTTTAGATCCGTTTGCAGTCATTCTTTATTTCAGACTTTTTTTTAAATCAAAGTTTCTTTCTGTGATTAGGGTTAACCCAAAGGAGCAAAGTGACACTTTTAATAAAATGCACATTGGAGGCAGAGGAGTCGTAGCCGTTTTGACAGATGAGCCTGAGAATGGCACAGAACCTCACCAGCTGGTAATGGACCTGGCGCCAACTGCCCATCTCGGCTGGCAGCTTGCTCTAACATGCCAGTCGAGACCTGTGAGGGCTCAGCTCATGACCGGTAGAACGCCAGAGGGGATCAGATGCCAAACCGTCACAGTCGGCTCTCAGATGGAACAACCCAGGCATTAAATCTAATGAGAGGGAACGCGGGGTAATTTAATAGACAGTTTTAGTAGAACTAATATAAATGAGGAGGGAAGCAGTTGGCAGTTTGTTTGTGCCGTTTTTTTTTTATGATTAAAATAAATCAAAATAGGATTTCTGTTAAAACTGTAAATGTTTTACATAGGTTAAACACTTATTCCAGCTAATCTCTGGTTATTTAAAGCTCCTTTGGGGATATTTTAGCTGTTAATGATACAGAAAGTAACACTGGTGCCGCTCAGAAATAAACCTGAACATCAGGAAGATTAGGTATTTTTATTTGTATGTGTTTTTTTCTAATGCTGCTGCAGAGTAGGTGTCAAATAAGGCATTTGACAGCACTCTGTGCATACAGTTTTTCGTCTGACTTTCCACAGGTAAAATTCACAGCGATTGATTTTTTTCCGAATTGAAGGAAGATACAATCTCATTTTTTAAAAAGAGGAAACACATTTTACCGGTCTACAAGAAAGGAAAGAGGTAAAAGAAACTTCTTTAAATGCAGGGGTCACCATAATAAACAGAAATTGAAAGCTTTAGAGGGATAGTTCAGTTTTTAGTAGTTAAATAGGTCATAAGGGGATGCCAGTCATCTAAAACCCTTTGTTGTCAAAGCATCTGGAGATCCAGAATGGAGTCTTGGTGATTATTTGCTGCAGACAAGGTCAGCTCTAACATGTAAAGCATCGTACTCTGTGTAAGTTCATGTTCTACTGTAAGTTTCCCAGACATGACGCATACCTGTTCTCTCACCTCCAGCAAACTGATCAGTTAAGTAAGTTTATGTTTTTGAATCTTAGTTTGACAAAACATTAAACAACAAATACTGCATATTATTCAGCAGACACAGTAATAGTCAAGTTTGTTATTTAAGCTATTCCCCTTCAATGGCTCACACAGTAAGTTTCATAGGTGTACACATACCATGCACACCATCATGGAGAAAAAAATAAGAGCCTACCAACTCTTTTGAAGACAATCAATCAGCTTTTCTGTTTTGTTTTTTTTTTTACTTCTAGATATTGAAGAAAGACGGTAAGAAAACAGCAGCACTCAGGACAGCAGGGAACTCAGTCTAAGAAACGAATACTGCAGTTGTATGTAAGCCACTTGTATCCTTGGCTCAGAGAAGTCCTGTTGTTAGTAAGTCCCACTCCAGACAGCAAGTTACCTTTTCTCTTCTTTGTGGGCTTGGCCTCACAGTTTATACACCTGCACCTACTGTGTACACCCTCCTGCTCTCAAGCTAGTACAGAAGTTTCTTCCCTTCTCCTTTGGACCAATGAGTAAGTAGGTAGCTAGACAGGCAGGTAGGTAGGTAGGTACTTTATTGACCCCTAGGAATATTTGTAAATCAAACACTTATTGCACCCTCTTAGCTCGGTTCATGACATTTTAATCAAGGTTAATTTTAACCGTGAATGTTTGTTGTTGAATATAAAAACTGTTGGCCAAATACTAAATAAAGCAAAATTAAAAGCCCATCAACCAGTGTCCTAAATAGCCCATGTACCAGTTATACTTATGTGGTAGAGGAAGGATCCATGAGGCGATGTTAACCACTCAAAATTAGGTTAATTAAACATCATCTTCTCTAAAACGGTTCAATAACTAAGTCTTAAACTCCTTTTGTGTAGCGCTGCAGACATCCTGCAAACATCCAACACCCACTGACAAGGGCTGGCAGAGATTCCCACTGAACTCTAGCTGCACATGGAACAGACAGATCGCGAATAAGGGGGGGATGGAGTGCAGGGACAAAAAGAGAGACATGGAAAAAGAGAATGGAAGATCCAGAGACTTGTCAGTCATGGCAATGAACACTGACAGGCTAACTCTGTGGATAATGTTTCTGTCACTGAGCTCCCTAATCACAGTGTTCTTAGTCAAAACCAATCCTCTCGCATGTGTACACTCGCAAAGTGGCGGGATGTTTGTAGCAAACAGCTGAAAGACACGCACAAAGAGCGGGTGTCAAGGCAGGCAGACCGAGTCACATCTCTACCATTATCAGACGCTCTGACAAGGGCTTGAAGAAGAAAATACAAGAAAAACAGAAAGAGCCGCGAAAGAGATGGAAGTGGAGGGTGTAAAGCAAAGCGACTGGAGGAGAAAAAAAAGCGGAAAAATGGCAGTTTTTAAACATACCCCACCAGGTAGTGCCTGTCAGAACACATTGCCATCCTCTAATTGGGTCATTTTTGATACCCCCTACCACACGGTGCCAGCGTATTGATGGGGAGGTGTCAGGGTGCCAAGAGCCTGCGAGGCCTCACTGGCACCGAATCAAAGCAGGCAACAAACGCTGCCCGCAGACAATCTGGCAAGCTGGAGCGCACACAGGCGCAAGAACATCCAAAAACATGGCCCCATAGCTCCTGCCTGTACCACCGGGGCGTAATTGGTACATGGGCATTCCGGAGCATTTTCAAAGGAGGGAACTTAATCCACATGTGTACTATGAAATTGGCTATTTTGTACCCAGCATCCCCCCTCCTCCTTCTTCCTCTCTTGCTCTCCATCTCGCCCTCCCCCAGTTTGCAACCCTTCAACCAATTTAGCACTCCGAATACGTCTTGTTTTCTCGTACATCCTCTTCGTCGACTATCAACTGCCACTCTATCTTTCTCTCGGAAATAGCCCCGGGTTTGACCACGGCATCTTAGGCTGTGAAGGCGGACAAGGATGCCTAATCTTTACTCGGTGCTCAGCTTGACAAGATTTCACTCGTTGGAGTTTGTTTGTGGTTGTGTTTGCGCCCGTATGTGTGCGTGTTGGTATGTTTGTCTGCACTGTAAGTATGCAGATCTGGAGAGCCTAAAACAAATCAAATTTGTTCGTCACATGCTTGCACATAAAGCTGTGGAGTTGGGTTTAAGGGTGTGGGTTGTGGATTGATGCTTACAGTAGGATGTGGGTGAGCCAAAGCAAGCACATCCCACTCCTGTCCTAAGACTCAGAATCTTTAAATCTAAATATTCCCAAACAGAAACATCCTCTCATGCCTTGCTTGTGTTTTGTACATTCCAACATTGAAGAACACTGTCGCATCTCCTCATCCTTTGTGTGCTGGAGTGTGCCTTCCAGCCAGCCTGGCACTGACTGGCACATGGAGTAAAACCGACTCCAGCTGCTTTCTGACCGAGGGGAACTTGTTTAATTAACCACGCTCCGGTTCCAATGAAAGGCTTGGTTTCGCTCCCAGCTGTTGACCAGTCTGTGGCACCCCGGGGCCCTGATGGGGACTGGCATATCACCCCTGGTCCGGTCCGATCCACGTTTCCCAGACAAAGATGGACTCTGCCTGTCATGCCAGGATGTATCACGCCTGAGCCCTCCTTCATAAATTAAACATGAGATCTGGAGGAGTTCTTTTAAAAAAGGAAAAAGACCCAGAGGATGTTTCTCTGCTCAGATTCACCCACGCTGTTTTTCTTTCCTTTTTTTTTTCTATGACTCGGACTCACTGAGACATGGAAAAAAGGAAGAATGGGGAGAAGGTATAAACAGGTGCAGAGGTGAATTAGAAAACAGTGCCCTCAAAGACTTTCTCAAGTGTGTATTTGTGAGTACGTTTGTGTGTGGGCAATCCATTGTGGCCTGAAAGAGCACTTCAAAGAGCCTTCTGATGGTTGTCTGGCTCTTTCCATGTGCTTTTGGGGACGCACTCATATGTACGAAATGAACTCAGCTTTAAAGCATTACTCATCCTGTGTGTTAAGCTTTGGTGCAGGTGGTTTGGTAAACATAAAGTTTCACCCCAAATAATGTTATTCTTTAGAAAAATAAAATAACATGCTTCAAAATTTAAATTTAACTCAATGTTTAAAATCAAACTAACACACTTCAGATTGAACTTCTTCCCAATCCAGGATTATTTCAACAGCCCCTTCGCCAAAAATCTATCAGTTTCAACAGAGTGCTGCGAGGTTGCGCATGCTGAATGTGACCCTTGGGGGTAAATACATGCAGACGCATGTAAACACCACATCACAACAACACCATCTCTTCATCTTAACCATGGTATAACCCAGCCCCCACCCTCCACTTTTACTGCAGCCATGAATCACAAGACTTGTCGCCACTGAAGCCATCACAAGCTAGGTTTATGTTTGTGTTTGTCTTTGTTTTCTTATCTGTGCTGTGGGACAAAGGTCCATCTAAGTATTGATGCCAACTCTGAGAACATGTTTTGATCATTAGGCCTAAAGAGGCTTAATGTGCACATAGACTGTATGGGGAAATAGAAACAGCTGCCACTTCAGCAAAACCACAATTGAATTTTAGAAACTGAGGCATTTGAGGCAAGACGATGTGACGATGTTTGAACAAAAGGTAGATACAAGAGAGAAACACTTAATCCCACTTTTGTGATCTGACATCACTTGTCATCACATGTCAGCCACTTGTCATCCACGGGTTAGCCGTGACTTGAAGCACTCCCAAACCTATTGTCTCCTGTAGTGGTTCTCAAAGTTTGGGTCATGACCCTACGCTGCACAACAGTCACATCTCAGCATGTGCAACGTCAGTCATATAACCTGAAACGCATCATGTGGTCACCAGTTTCCCCATCTTTCATGGTTAATCCACAATAGAAGTATTCCTGATATCACAGAAGTGCGGCCTCGAACACCAGACCACTTCACATGCAGAGTTTGTGGCTGTGTCGCATGACTTTAAAATGTTTTTTTCCCATCCTGGCTAACAAGACCCTTGAATGTTTACTGTCTGTCGTCTTTACCTGTGGTGCAGGTGAGAAAAATGTGAGTTAAAAGTTATAGGGGCTGGAGCAGTTGCTGAAGTAGAAGTTAATGTGGGAGGGGTGAGCAGCCTGTGGAGTAGTTATCGTCCATTTATGGTTATCAAAGAGAACTGCTCAATATATCGTGATATTGATTTGAGGCCATATTGCCCAGCCCTACAGTGTGTTCTTTTGTAGTGAAAAGTTACCATCAGAGAACTAATGGCCTGGAATAAACATAACTTTTAACATTATTTTATTTTACTTTTTTAAGTATTCTTTTGGGGTGGCTTTTATTGATAGGACAGTGTGAACTGTGGGGAGATGGGGGGGGGGGCATGCAGCACATGGTTGGGGCCAGACTCGAACCCATGACCACTGCAAGGATTGTGGTCACCATGCATAGCTTTTAACTTTATTATTGATAATCGATGATAGCTTATGACTGCACCAAAGCAAATCTCACAGTTTCTCTCACCCTTCTACGACTCTAGCAGTGCGATTGACGCGAATTGGAAAGGAGCTGAAAATGTCTCAACTTGAGTGGATATTCGTGTTGCGATAGCTAATCAGCACGAAGGTTGCCAGGTGACGTAAGAAAACGGAGGGTTGTTCACTGGTCATTTAAAATGAAAACTGACCATGCCGATTTGTGGGTGCCTGGAATTATATGATACTTTTTCTTTAAATTACCGAAACCAAAATAAAAAGGAGCTCGCCTGGAGGCAAGTGAATGAGGAGGTTGGATCGCCGGGTAAATTGTAAAAAAAAATTTGTCTATCACTTGATCCTGCTGGTTTAATTGGCAGGGATTACTGTTGAAATTACCGTTGATGCATGAATGAAACAAGTAACTATTCATTTACGTGTCTAGATTCGTGAAAATTAATTGAGTAGATGATTTCACTCACGCTTGGTGCAAGCGCCCCATCACAGCCCATTCAAAAATTTTTGATTGAAATCAGTTTCACTACAAAGAGAGGTTTATAATGCCCAGTTATAGACGTGGTACTCTACAACAGCTACAACAATCATCTTACTTCTCTACTTTTAATAGTAAAACTCTATTTCTTTGTTTCCTTGTCATCTAAGCGTAGTGCTCTGTAGTGCTAATTGTTTTGTCTGCAGGTTTTCACTCTGTTCCCCACTCTCATCTGAAATAAATCAGGCTTTATGCCAGAGTGACATTCTGAGAAGCAATGTCACCACCCAGCCACAGTGAAAGTCTCTCTGTGTCTACTAAGAGCTGAAGTGCCACCAAGAGAGCTCATTTCACCAGCATCTGGATGACAGGTCGTAGCATCACCAAGCACAATTGTCACCTTTACAAGTTGTCATGCGTCTTGTGTCCTTGATGCTGTGATAATGCACACTGGAAGGGTGTCATGTCATCACCTGATCCCCTCAACAAATAACGTGTGAACACGAGAAGGAGACAAAGCATTTCAACAACAAGAAGGAAAGAAAAGTAAGAGGTTTTTTTATATACATGGTTTATGGTTTCAGGTTTTCCTACTCCCACAAGAGCAACATGGCTGTAAAGATATTTGAATCTTAGCTAAAATCACTTTTTCTGCTCCTCTCTATTGCCCAACTCATGCAGCCCACGACCCTTATCCCCTCTCCACCTCCCTCTGTCATTTTTTTTTCCCTGTGAGTCCAAGGCAGAGTCCACGGGAGCCCCATTTGCCGTGACATATGGCGAACAAGGCAGGCACTGCGAGCGAGTGGCCCTGTCTGGAGCTGTGACTTAGTGTCGTCCCTCGGTGCCTCTGGCAGCACAGGGACAGAGGGATGAAGGGGATGGAGGAAGAGGGAGAGACGAGGTACAGAGACAGAGCAAGGGTGGGAGTCTGGGTAGAAGGGAGGGAGGGGGGGATTCGTGCCGGAGTTTTTGCCCTGGAGACACACTGGCAGTCCTAAGATTAGAGAGGTAATCAATCTCAGCGTGGAGCCGGCCAATCCCACCGCCCCACGGCCTGGCAACCTGGCCTCCTCAGGTGGGGGCAGGGCTGGGAGGTGGCGGAGGAGCACTGACAGGAGGGGCAGAAAGGAGAGGAGAGAGAGATGAGGGGAAAGAATATGCTTTATTAAGAGTCATTTGTCCTTTAACAAGCCTTGGTGCTGGACAGGTGATGAAGCATAGCACCACAAACACATATGATTACTGTCATCGTTGTTTACTGGCTTAGCCGCCTCTGTCACCTCACCAGGGAAACCTTGTTTTGGGTGCCCCCAACACGTAAACACACACACAGAAACACACCTGCCTCAAACGGAGCAGCACCACTTTTGGTCACAGCCAAAACTGTAGTAGCCCTGAAGTCAGTGTGTATTAGTCCAAAAATTTACCCAAAACTGAAACTTCAGAAAAACTTTAAACATATTAAGATCACTGTTACAACCAGACACTGAGAAACACCAACTATAGTTACATGTTACATCTATCATTGTGTCAGCTGCGTGATTTGAGAGTGTAATAGAAGTGTTACCATAATTGTGTTAGCCGGTTTAGCACTGAAGACTTGATAACAACCTTGAAGAATAGGGTGACCATATTCTGAATCCCCAAAAAGAGGACACCGCTATGCAGGGGCAGAGACACAGAGTCACGCATAGTTAATTTGAGAGTTTTTTGGGTCAGATCAAGTGTTTTTTAGGCGCTTCTAACTCAGTAAGTCCACATAAGACAAACCCAAATCTTCCATGCAAAACCCTGGACATTTGAAAGACTTTATAAACTCCCCCGGACGAAACAGGACAAGGCCGGACAGCTCCCAAAAAAGAGGACGTATGGTCACCTTATTGAAGACGCATCATGCAAGCAAGTACCGTTTGTAACAATGAATGCCAAAAAGAGTTTGAAGAAGTGGGAATGCATAAAAAGTTCCCTCTAAACACTGAAAACTAAAACAAAATTAGGTGACCTTATAATGCTAATAATAGATACTTCAGAACGGGAATACTATATTTGCCCAACAACTCCAAATATGAAAAATATCCTAAAGCTCCTGAGTGGAACTCTTTACTTTGTGTCACTTTTGGCAAGGATGCACATCTTATAACTTGTCTGATCTCGTCCTCTACATGCCAAGGTATACATTCCTCAAGAAAAATGTCACCCTACTTTCATTTAACAGTCAGGTGTGTCACTTTCTTAGTATTTACAGTTGAAAAAGTAAAGCAAGTCTGTTTCTCCAGTGTGCAGTCAATCATTCAGTTTGACAACTTGCCCCCCACAGCAGTTTCGGGCATAAATAATTACAAAGTAGAAATTGTCAGTCTTGCTGCAAATGGTCCTGCATGGTATGTTTTTGTAGGTCATAAAGAGGCAGCGGTATCAATTTAAATATGATTCATAACTAGACAAGAAGTCATGAGAAGGGCTTTGAGGGAAAAATGCATACAAATAGTTGACGATGTTAAATAAGTGCTGCCTGTTGGCCTCAGCTCAACTTCAGGTCATGACCCTTTGCTTTAGTCTCTACAGCCTGTACTCTACCTTGACTCTCTTCAGCTATCCTGCCTAAAAATCCTCTTAAATAAAAGGGATATTCCGGCATAACCTTAAGTTATGGTCAGCAGAGTTTCGCAGCTCAAGGAAGAACATTTATGATCATTACTTCATGGAAATGCAATCAGACCAAGATGCTAAGGCAGAAGAACTACTTCAGCTGATGTGCAAAATGATTATTATGATGATTATTACTTCATGGAAATGATTTGCTGCACTTGGTGATCGACTCTTCAGGGCTCCCCCCACAAACAAACGACTGCTGGAAGAGAGTAGGTAAGTTGCGTTTCATCTCTTTTCTAAAGAAATTAGGCAAAGCTAAAAAGATGTGGCTAATGCTGTGGCTGGGACCCTATATGTACTGTTGATGAAGTTAGGTGCTGTTCTGAGCATTATTTGAGGTTGAGGTTTCCACGTGGAGAAGTAGACCACTGTGTATTGCTATGGTGCAGTCGCTGGCTGAAGTTGGTATAACTAAAGAAGCAAGCAGTGGGCAACATTCATCTCTTAAGGGGGTGTCGAACTCATTATTACGGTGTGTTGGACCAAAACTTAAATTTACACCAGAATATCCCTTTAAATAAGCAAGTGTGTGACATAACCAGATTCATTATGCCACTTTAAAATCAGTATTAAAACTGGTTTTAAAGTTTCTATGTTGGTCTGGCTCTTTCATGTGGTGATAAGTGAAAATTCAGGGGTGTGCTATCTCCATGATAATATCATGAGTGTTTGGGAGAGCTTTTTAGAGCCATCACAGCCACTGAGGGTACAGATACCAATCAGAAAAATGTGTGTTATGTATCATATAAACCAAACACTTGATATTTCTAATGAGTAATCAAGAGGAGGTGTTCTCTTTTCCCTGATAGTGGTCTATAGAGCTTAACTTTAAACAATGAGTCACTAAGAAGGCTGTGCACTAGTTTGAATGACTCAAAGTCACATATACTAATTACCATCAGTGTCTCCTAATCTGGTGAACACGTGCACATCAATTACTGTCCTCAGAATGAACTAAAGAAAGAGATGTAATACGGTGCAATGAAGAACAGAACGCTAAAGGTGTAAGAAGAAGAGACGAATGAAAATAAAAGGAAGGAAACATCCTCATGAGGCCTTTTACAGATAAATGAAATAATTAGACACTACTCCCCAGTGGCCTCTATCGTTTTATTCTATTTCTAGGGAAATAATTAGAGATTTTTTTTTTCTTCTTTTGCAAGCCTCTGTGTTTTTTCAGCTTTAATCTTTAATCAGTGTGGAAGATTTCCCTTTGGGCAACAAGGTGCTCTATGTTAAGATGTAATACTCTCTGCTAATTCAAAGTTGCTTTGCATCATGAGGATGCGAGCATCATGTATCACCCGCTGTAAATGCCGTACTGATGTTCGCCTCTTTATCAAAGTAATGCATGAAAATAGGTGAGAAAGCAGGTAGAGGCAAAGTAGGAAAGCTTGTTTTTAATTGGGCCAAGAGGTCTGAACTGAGTCCCATCTGTGTTCTGGTTGGGACTTAATTATAAACAAACATGGCTACCTATCGATAACACCACAAAACCGCAGCGAAGAAGAGGGTTAAGAATAATCTTGACGCCCCGCGGGTCATCGCACACTGTAAACAACATGGATTTATCCAAAAACAAGACAGAGAAGAAACAGAACAGAAGTTGTATGAAATCAATACAAACCAAAGCAAGAATCAAAGCTGGAATAAGGGAAATCAGGCTAAATTGGACTTTTTGTTGTGCTTGGTCAAATATAATGCTGCTAGAAAAGAACCTCCAGAGAGAACAGCAATAACAGAGTGATACTTAAGAAGAGATTGAAGGCACATAGCTAGACAAAGTCAATTCAGCTCCTTATGACCCTACACAAGGGGCGAAGGCATAGATTTGAGGCATGCTCTTATGTCCCTCTCACGAACCCATAAAGCCATTTTAAAGTGGAGGCAGCCATGAGTGCTAAGCCAGGGGATTGAGAGGGAAATTCAGTGTCTCAGTGTGTTATTCCCCTCCAGTTGTGGTCCACAACATCTGAGGCTAGCTGCATGGCTCATCTGTGATCTGCGCTTCCAGGCACTTGCATTAATTGAGCTCGTAATTGAATAGTTGTCTTCATTAGTTCCAGTTCCCTGCTTGCGAGTCTCGGTTACGGATTACTGGGGAAATGTTTGTGCTAACGTGCTCTCGGAAAAGCTCGAAGTAGAGCTCGCTGGTCCTTCTGTGCGCGCTGTTGTGTCATTATGTCACTTACGAGGAAAGACAGTCACTCACGGCTGACCGGTGACACGACTGGTGTTCCCGTAGCAACCGTTGCTTTTAAAAATACCAGAGAGAGACGAAACAGCCGAGAGGAAGCGGCTTTTTGAACGAAGACAATCGAACCAAGTCATTAATATTCTTGAGGAAGTTGAGGCTGGAACACAAAAGCTTCACCTGCAGGAGAGCTCTGCTTGCAAATGCATGCAACATTAATCTCATCATCATCATACCTTAAAAAAAAAAAGATCTTAAGTTATTACTTTCAGTTTATGATGAGAACCGAACAACAATAACAACATATTCTTATTCAGCTTGTAGAGGCATCAAAAATGATCCAAATATCTTTCAGGCATGGGCCAAGATCTGGTGAGAAAATCTCGTCCTTTTTTGATTGAAAAGGAAAAACAGGTACACAAATAAACAGCATGCACAGAGACAGGCCAGACAGCAGCACTGTGATGTGCTTGGGGTCGTACAGCATGGTAGAGAAGATAAAGGAAAATTAAAGGAAAGGTCCCTGACCCTCTCTGATAGCTCTAAATGCCTTGCAATTTTCCACAGGAGACGAAAATCCTCCTCCACAAATGAAGGGCTGCGTCTGACCTCTTCCAAGAGCGCAGGAAGTTTAAGGGAGGTTGACAAAAAAAGAGAAAGACTCAAAGAGAGGCGAAATGGTAATTTGACTTGCCAACAGACATTTCTAACCCCTTTAAGGTGCATTTTAATAAATCCTCGGCAATTTGCATCTCTTGCGCCTAGCCAATTATTGTGGCATGCGTCAGATTGAAGCAACATCTATAGAAAGTTGTCAAGTGGGAAAACAAAAAGGAAGCCTAAAAAGGTGTCTCCACAAGCAGCAGGCCTAGCTCTCTCATAAAGACTTAACCACAGTTGTTTCCCTCATTAGAGCATCATTTGGCAATAATTATCTTTAAGTGCTCTCAAACATCTTGGAGAGGTGAAACAAACTGTGCAGAGCTCAAGGAAAAATGATGACGGGGAAGCAGAAAGAGCAACAAAAGTGGTCGTCAGACATGCGCCGCATTGACTGTCAGAGTAAATCAGCTTTGCCGTGGCGCAGGCGCTGAATGACATATTAAACAAATCTAATCAAATGAAATTTGGGTGAGTGGGAGTGGTGGGGCAGGTGATTAAGCCACACTTTAAATATCTCCCACAGTCTGCCACAGACACCTCACATATGTCTACCTCGGAGCACAGACACCTTTCTCCTCTCACCAAAGCGGATTCACCCATTTCCTGGTACCTAACAGCTTCACAAATGGGACGTGACTCCGCCGCCCTGGAACAAACAACGCCTGAAAGCATCAAAAATTGATTTTATATGAATATTCAACAAGCCAGCACAACAAACTGAACTCCTCATTTTCACCTTCCTTCCTTTTCCACTATTGCAGCTTTTTCTCTAACTGCATAATTAATGTGTGAACAGCAGAGTGTGAATTTGTTTGTGTTGCAAAATAAAGAACGGTGGGAATTTATAAAAAGAAGACAACTCTATTCTTTTGTACTCTTTAGAAGCACATTAGGATAATCAGAGAGTAAGGAGGTGGATTTGTAATTCACTGTAGCTAAAATTAAAGGATACATACAAATACATTTCTATAACTTCTTTATTTATTCATTTGTACGTTTATGAAGCTACGAATTAGCCTGCTGGATTTCTGGTAGGTAACCGGGTCCTTTTTATTACAATACATCTACATTTGTGATTTTCTGTAAATTGTCATTACTCTCTATTAAAAAAACAAATATTACATTAAATAAAAATCTACATTCCTTTAGAAAAATGTGTCTAAAAGTGGAGAAAATAAAGTCAGAACTAAGGTACTTAAATGCCGAACATGACCTCCATCCTTTGTTTTGTCAGGCTCGGCACGTGCTGGATGACGTAGGCTTGGCAAGACACACACAACACACACACACAAACAGTCACACACTGTGTCCACCCACCAACATTATCTCCTCTGCTTGTTAATGGGGACGGCTCACACAACCGCCCTAGCAGGAGAGAAAAATCTCTAGCCCCTTGCTCAGATTTGTTCCCCTGACATCAATCGTTGATCCTGTAATTTCTCCCACCTTTCGGGGGTTTCTGCCCCAGCCACTGATGTGCTTTTAAAATGTATGTGTGCCATTTGCCTCCGAGTACACAATTGGGTATACACACATAAAACAGAAAAGGGGAAAAAATGGTGGTGGTGAGGGGTTTTTACAAGCTAAAGGGATTTCTTTTTTTTTTTCTCCAAAGGTACACAGATACCCCGAGGAATAGATTTACTGGCCTAGAATCGTCTGTCAAGATGTGATGCATTCAGAAGTTTTGCAGAGATGAATCTAGACAAATTAATGCACTGGTGATTCCTTTCCACGTGTGTGTGCGTGCGTGTGCAGGTTGTGTGTATGTGTGTGTGTGTGTGTGTTTGAGAAAGGAAAGTGGGGAAGTGGAGGGAGTTAGTATGCTGAAGGTAAGTCAGTGGGCCGGCAGGTAAGTAGGAGACAGAGTAGAGTAATCAGGCTGCCCACCAACCAGTGGCACAGGACTCACACACACACACAAAGACACACACACACACACACACATAGCCCTTCAATTGTTCATTTTCCTAATGATCCACAGAGCAGCAGGAGGCAAGAAGCCATGTTGACTGAGAGACCTCTGCCTTAACCCTCAGTCAGAGCAGCATCTCTAATGATAGTGTGTCGGTCTAACTCTGTGGAGTGTGTTTGTCAGTTCGTGAACTTTTTTCCTTATCTGAAGCCTCGGTAGCGAGAAACTACTTTCCGCTCAGAATCGGTTTACCAGTTTTCGGTTTGTGTTTTGGTTGAATTTTCTGTGATTGCTTTATTTAAATCTCTCTCATTTTAGTCTCATCGTGTACCGGAAGGACAAAACACCAACTTACACGACACTACCATACCAGCAATCAGCACTTTCTTGCTCCTCTTATGTCATTTTATCTGACCACAAATCCTCTAAATATTTCTAGGATGCACACCCGCAAAAAAAAAAAAGAAAAAAAAAAAAATCACCCCCGCATTTAGGCAAATATCAGGACAGCCACAGAGGGGAGGTGGCCCTGGGTGGCCATTAGGATGCAGCGAGCGGCGTTTCCATGCAGACACCATCTCCACATGGAAAGGTCACCTCCCTCCCTTCGCGGGTAAATACGCAGACGTATACAAATGTGGTTGCGTGCTGAAATGGCTCACCTTAAGAAGGCATTAGGCTCTCTCCCACTGAACTTTACATCCCCCTCTTCCATTATCTTAACCAATGGCATTTCAACCTCTCTTAAAGAAGTCCAATGTTCCCAAAGTAAAAGCAATTCAGTCTGCGTTCTCAAAAAAAAGCGGAGTGATTCTCATTAAGCTGGAAAAAAAGGAATAGTTCGTCAAAGTTAAGAAGATTTAATTTCCACTCACTTGTACCCTGATTGTGTAGTTACAACATGAACCGTTTGTCTGAATGTTCAAACTTAAGTACAAACAGTCAACTCAACTGTCTATTGTCATCATTATGAAACAGCAGAGCAACAGAGAGTGACGCTGATTGAACAAAGCTTCATCCTGTCCGACTTGAGATGTGACTCAGTGTTATTCCGAGTGCATTTCCCCCCCTTTGAGTCCTGTTTGCTTTAGGTTTACTATAAGGCCCTTAGCAACCAACCTGCCCACTAGGCCCTGCGAGCCTCACCGCTGTCAAGTCACATCTGGACAGGAGACTAACCCGTCCTGTCAGTGCCCTGCGTCCACTGCTAACACACCTGAGCTGGGGCACGCCTTCGACTCCAGCCCCGGGCACGGCGGGCCTCGAGTCAGCGCCCGCCGTGGTGCAGAGGTGTAGGAGGGTGAGGTCATAGAGGGGAGTCTTGTTTTAAAAATGATCAGTTAGGTGGAGGCAGAGGAAGAGGAGTATTCAAGGCTGGTTTTTACCCGTTTGGATATGGTCAGAAATTTAAGTTATGATCATCTTTTTTATTTGTTTTTCACACCACTGGTTTTATTTCTACGGGTTTCTAACCTCTAAGCTCTCATTCTGCTGTGATTATCCTCGACTTTTATTCCCTTTTTGTCGCAGTCTTTCCATTCTCACGCCTTTTGTTGTCTCTACCTCACCGTCTTTTCCAGTCCCAAGGGATGGCCATCTTACCCCTGGCATCAGATCCCAGTGGATGCACGTAGGGCCCCTGTGTATGCAGTGCAAGCGCCTCTGCGGTTAGTTGCTCGCGCCGCGGCGAGCCTTGTTCCCGTGATGCTCCGTCCCAAAGGGAATTCCCAGCAGAGACAATGGGCAGCTTACCAGGGTAAACAACAGCCTCCTGCATGCCAGTCTGCCACAAAGGCACAGACAGAGAAGAGGGAAGAAGAAGTGCAAATATAGTACAATGCCGCACAATGCTAGAAAACCCCAGCAACAATACACAAAGCCAAGCCAGACACATCCCTCTCAGTGCTTCAGACATTTACAATCAATGGCAACACAATCACACTCACAATATGTAATTGTGGCTTCAGCTGCCTCTTTGATTTAGTCAAACAATTGCTTTAGTTTGCAGGGAGAATCTATAAGAACTAATTCTCGGTATCACCGACGGAGAAAAAAAAGAAAAGTCTCATCAAGAAAATGCAATGAATTGTGGCGCAGTCAGAAGCCAAGTGCAGTGAAAAAAAGTGAGCCTGTCTGATGTCACGATTATGTCAAAGTGTTTGTGAGAGGGGCTGATATAAAAGGATGGTTTGGTTTGAAATTCATATCCACTTACCGCCAGAGCTGGCCTGTATACCTCTTCAAGTAATGGCTGTTTACAATATAAAAGAAGAGGAAAAATAGCCACTTTTCCCTGCTCAGACATGAAATCCTCTTATGAAATTAGGCTGATAAAAGGGCCTTGTGACGTCGCCCATTTTTCCAACCTTGCCTGTGAGCGTTATTAATGGCATCCTTGTGGCATGTCATTTTTCTACATCTCCAACACGCTCCTAACAGCAGCAGCAGAGGGCCAGGCCTGCTAGGCGCTTTGTCAGAACAACAGCAGAGTCGACACACAGCCCTGTCAAGTTCCCTCAAAGCAGATACAACCCGGGAAGAGCCGCAAAACACACTTCGCTGTGTGTATAAGAGCCAAGGGTTAATTTTTGTTGGTTCCTTGTTGCCTTCAGAGGGGGGAGAGTGGAAAAAATGAAGCAGGGTTGAAACAAATAGCGGCGTCGGGAGAGACGTGTGGCCTTCGCTTAAACAGAGCCATAAATCAGCAGAGTGACATGAAGAGAGGGAGGCAGAGAGAGAGGTGAAGAAAGAGAGGGGTGAAGAGGGAGGGAGAGCAACCAAAAGTGAGACAACAAGCGCATAACATTACCAATGTTTAGCCCCAACGATATGCAGGATTAACTCTTTCTATGGCGAGTAGGAACTTCTTTTACAACTCCAGCTCCAAAAAAGCTGAAATGTCGTGTCAAATATTTAAAAGATGATTGCAGACACGCCAGTTTAGCCCCCAGACTCTGCCAATACAGAGCCATGCCATTGTAATACATGCAGAATGCAGCTTGGCATTGTCTTGCTAAGATATGTCAATCAAAAAAGCATTATTTGAATGCAAGCATGTCATTGCTGTTCAATAAATAACATGTATCCTCACATTTTTTTTCCCAAGAATTTTATTCGTAAACTACCTTGCAGAATAAACCCCAAAACATTGTAACTGGCAATTTCCACCACATCCGGCTACAAAAAGGCCGTATCCGCTGATCGTAGCTGATCGCAACCATTCAAGTTAATGTGTCAATTTCCACCGGCTTCTTTCCGTTTCGCAGCGGACACCGGATCATGCCGGATAAATTCAGCACAGATTAACCCGTGCTGGAAAGGAAGTCGGGCTCACACAAAAAATAAAACATCCGGCTTCTTTTCAAAATAAAACACTCAGTGTTTCAGGCGGATCGTATTTCACACCATGCAGACGGGCGGGGACGAACAAGTGAAAGGTTTTTAGACAGCATTTCATCCTGATGAAAAGTCTGTTGGCTGACATGACAACACAGGGCCAAGGCGGGAGATAGGTGCTTTGTTGACACTTCCAACACCCAATGGAGATACTTGTTGAAAAGATGATGTTATAAAATGTCTTTCAATCGGTCATTTGGATACCCAAAGCTGCGGGTTGTTCGGGAAGATTATGGACCATGCATGTATTGAAAAAAATCAGATCGCTGAAAGTGGAGATCCGTGTTTTTCATCAGACAGCGACGATATGTTGCTCTAAAACCCATGTACACAGTTCATCATTAATGATGCCTTTAAAGATGTATAAGATAACCAATTACAAACAAAAGTCCTCATTTGAGTGGTTTTCTTGACCCCTCACCCCTTTCAGATGCTTATGAGACTTTTGTTTGCAAAGGAGAAGAACAAAAACTACTTTTGTTTAAATTAAAAGACAAACCTCATACGTTTCATCATTATTTAAAATTGAAAAAACTGTAAATTTCAAGTTGGACATAAATGTACACACACGTGCACAAGACGTTGCATGTTCATACGTGCATGTGTGTGCAGACCTCGCTGTGCTTTTCAGCGTCTACCTCGACACAGGCGAGGATTAACAAGCCTCTTTGGAGTTGCAAAGCAGAAGGGGGTGAACATGCATGTGGATTACATATAGTGAGCATCATCTCGCAGTGATGCTTTTAATGAAGTCCTGTGTGTCTAAACCTGCGTGTGTGAAAGGCCCACACCATGCAGGGCTCCAGCATATCGGGGCCATAAGACTGGCCGAATCACTAATACATTCAGGGTCTGTCCATATAAGCTCAGGTAGGGGCAGAAATCTAGGAGATATCTTATGCACGGCCGTGTGTGCTCCAGCTGCGACCCACCCTGTGTCACTCATTTTGTCCTGACTTGTGAGGGATTACCGCAGTGTGGGCTTGTGCTGAGACGGCAAAATAGGAAGGGATAAAAGGGGAGGAGAGGAAGCCATACCATACTGACAGTGTCTGTGTTTTACATACAGGCCGAGATCCAGGAAAACCTGTAGCCGTTTGATTGGATCCTGCTGAGGGGAGACCTTAATGTATGTCATCCATTGCTATTACAGAGTAGAGAAAGAAGTGAATGGAAAAAAATGGAGTGAGGGTTTTGTAGAAGCAACAAAGTAGATCTGGTTGAGGTAAAGCTGGATAAATCAAATTGGATCGTCTCAAGTATTCCCACCACATGCTTTGAAAGTGAGCCTAATAGTGTGTTTCCAACAACAGGCGGACAGGCGAAAAAAAAGGAGATTTGGTGTGTTGGTGTGATATAGCAAAGCATGCAATTGCTTCCTGGATTTCCACAGTTTAGGCGCAAAGTATGTGCAAATTATTTCATTCACCTGACACCAAAGAACAGCGGCCGCTTGGCACTTTGAGAGAAAATTAAATTAAGCGCCCGGAAAATGTTAGAGAAAAAACTTGGAGGATATAGAATGGATTTATGGCCTTAAATCTGATGGAGCTTGATACTAATACGGTATAAATCCTCGCCTTTCATTATAGTATTATATGAAATGCATTGGAATGGAGCGATGGATCCTATTTGACATTCCGTTACCAGAGCAGTTGCGCACAGCTTCACACTTAAGCCCTTTAAAGCTAATACATAAATGTAACATTACATATAGCTGCAGCGCTCAACAGCAGCTTTTTTTTTTTTTTCATTTCTCTGACTGAATCAGCAAACACACGAGATGATTCTCCCAAATGGTTTAATTACTCAAACAGATTGAGGAGCGTAATGATGTTTTGCCTCTCCGATGGCAACAATGCTGCTAATCGGCTCAGCTATTATTCAGACAATGAAAATGACTCATAAGATGCTTGTTCCTTTTTTTTTTTTTTTTTTTTTTTACAATATGTTAATGTTGTGCACAGTAATCGACCCAGCTCATGGGAAACATTGGGAGGCGAGCTGTTTGCAAACTAAGTGTGTTCACAGATCAAAAACAGGGGTGGGATGATTTGTGTTTTTTTAATTGTGTGTAGAACTTTGTAGAGGACAGTGGGTGTCGTTTCGTCTCATATTTTAAGTCTCTTAAAAGTCTGACATTGTGATTGACTGACAAATGAGAAGTCACTCTGAGATAAACGAACAATTTCCAGCCGTTATCTGGAGAACTCTCGTTTTTTTTCACTGCAGGTTATCAAAGACACACGCAGTTCTCATTTAGTCCAAAGTGGGCCACTGAAGAAGTAGTACTAGCCCCTTGTTGGTCTGCATGTACTGCAGGTGTTGGGGTCCATTTTGTCCGGTGTCATTTGTCGTAGGGAGGGGGGACAGCACAGATGTATTGTGCCCTATGGCGTGGCTGTGGTGGCTGCACGTATGGGCTCCATTGTGCTGCGATTATGTAGGACGAGCACGCCGCCTGCTAATCCGCCTGTGGGAGGGTGCATGCCTGTGAATTATTGCACTTTGGGAGAGAGAAGAAAAAAAACAGTAGAAGGAAGAGGGAGAGAGAAGAGAAGGAGATGAGGAGCACAGGAAGAAGAAGAAGACCAAGAAGAAGAGGAAGAGGAGGAGGAGGAGGAGCGAGGAACAGAGGGAGAAAGAGAGAGAGAGAGAAAGAGAGAGAGAGAGAAGCCCCCTTGGCTGTGATTATGAAATGGTCTGTCACAGATTAAGGCTACAGGGATGCAGGCAGAGATGAGCCAGAGCCTCCCACAGACACTCTGGCTAGTCAGGCAGCTTCATTGAGCTTACCTGAGGTTATACACGCCTCACATCCATCGATGGATGTACAGCACACACACACACACACACACACACACTGTGAGGGAAACGAGGGACGGGGGGGAGGCAGGAGAAACGAGAGGGAGGGAGAGATTGAGAACGAGAAGAGAAAGCGTGAAAACAAACATGCTCCAAATAGGCTTGCGATTGAAAGAGAAGAGAAGAAAGAGGAAGAGAGGGAGAGCGAACTGTGCCCAAGGAAAAACACAAGAAAATAAAAAGGAAGAGGGAGAGAGGGAGCTTGAGAAGGCTGGCAGCCACAAAAGGCAGTGACTAAAATAAGACCTGTGTGGCTATTGTCTGTTTCCAGGAGGGCTTTGGTGATAAAAAGCCCACGCTATTTGTCTTTCTCTTGCCTTGCCCTCCTCGAGAGCATAGATACCTGGAGATGCTTTTTTTTTTTTTTTTCAAGCGGAGATAGAGGCGAGAGTATGTCAGGAGAGAACTGAGTGCTCTATGTGTTCACAAAGTGGAGGACTGACTGTCTTCTGCAGGTTTGTATAATTACACTGGGAGTCTTTATCCTAAGTATCTATTATTTTCACGCCTGGCAGACTTAGAGGTGTGGGGCGTTGTGGATAAAGGGTTAGAAATACTCAACTCCTTGGTGATTGATTGACAAGTACAGCCTGCACAGTTCTGTCCAATCACACGCTTCACTGTCAGGTTGATTCTTCCTCCGGCTTCAAGCGGGAAAGAAAAGCTGTAGCTGGAGTTTGTTACGGCAGAAACATCCCACGTTTGATTGGCAGACCGGCCCTGTTTCAGGACAGAGGGAGCCAATCAGCTTAATTAGCCCGATGGTATTTCCAGGTTTTGTATCTACAAGGCTGGGATTTGTGAGTAAGGATTTAAGTTTCAGTCTTTTGTTTAAGGATTCACATGAGCTCGCGAGTCCCTCTCACTGTAAGTCAGACAGGGAGTAGATATGAATCTGACAAGTACTGGGAGAAGTTTCATACAGGTGTAGACAGGTGCTTTCTTCTCCAGGTGTGGTGGTTACTCATTCCCTGTGAGTCGGGAAGAATATGTTATGTGGTTCTCTGTCTACAGAAGGATTATTTTAGTCACACTTTGGCGCTGAATAAACACTACACAGGCATACAATACAAAAATAAGGGCATCAATCAAGTACTTGGCCAGAAGTTGGATTGATCTCTTTTAGCAATTTTGAAATCAATTATGAAATAAGGATGCCTGGTAAGTACAGGTTGTGTCAAAACATGCGTTCAGTTAATCCTGATTGTAAGATTATTATCTATCAACTGTTTTCATCCATTTTTTAAATTGTTTTTATAATTCCCTTTTCAAATACCTGAAACTTTTAGAAGCAAGCAGCCATTCTTGTGCCAACAAGAATGACAACATTTAATATGCTCAAATATACTCCCATATCCCTGTCTGTTTTGACCGGTCATTGAAGACCCACTCCAATGAAATCATGTTTGTCTTCTTGTCTACATGTTCATATGGCATTTTTATGATGCTACGGGACACATCATGAGAAAAGTAAATGCGAAATTGCATTTTTGAGTATTTCTGTATTCAAATCACTGTGGTTCAGACACAGTGAGATTTCTTACATCACAACTGCAAGCTCCGCCCCCGGAGCCCCACTCTGCAGGCAAGACTTGGAGAAGTAGAGAGTGCATTAGTAGATTGAAATGCTCGTAAAAAAGCTAATTACGATATTAGCTTTCATCATATCTCCAAAGATACCAATGTCCGAGAGCAAAATAGTTCGTACATTGCCTGCCACTTCTACTACAACAACAATGTTAGGCTACAAGCTAGCATAACAACGAGTGTGCAGAGCAGCGCTGTCTCCGCCCATGACTCAGAAGCGAATTGCTCATGAGCTACTGGAGCTCTGCAGGAGGAAAGTCCTTAAAAATGTCACAGGTAACGTGATTTTGGCTAAAAACTTTGTAATCACAGTTTAAAGACCACTGAGAACACTTAAGGTATTAAAGAAGAAAAAAAACAATTGGAGTGGGACTTTAAACTGTGCTTACCATGTATGAATGTTGTAGTCCACAAAACAAGCCACCCAGATTTGATTCAAATCCTCAGACACCAGTCATTCTACACTGTATCTGTCCGGCATCAATACCTGGAAACAAGCTTTAAAATCTGGCTTTTCGCAGCCATCAATGGTGGCCACTGAAAATAGTTTAAACAACAAAGATTATAGATGCCATAAATTGATCCTTTTGTGTGATCTAGTTAAATCTAAGATGATCTCACACTACAAAAATCAAGATATTCATTCTTCCATGTTATGTTTGCGTCACTGCTTAAGTGTTGTGTATAAAAGGATCCACCAAATGGCATGTTGCTTTTTTTCTAGTAGGTCTTTTGTTTACAATAGAGTTCTCATTATTAATATGGGAAAAAAAGCCAAAACATAAATAGATGACACTAAGGCGGCCGGGTTACCTTGGGAAGTGAAAAGCCTTCACTCCCATCTCTTCTATATAGTGTACGACTTTCCAGTGGTGAAGCCATGGATTTGCATATTCACAGTGTATAGTATTTTTAAGTGCTGGCATACATTGTGCAGCTTCCCGGATTTGTGTAGAAACTCAAGGACACAGGGCAGCACTTTGAGCGCCGAATCAACAATGTGAGCCTACTGTGTCCATGCAGCTGCTTACATACTTCTGCTTGCCCATCAGACCGAATTAGATGAGAGGGATAACCCTTTAGAGGTGGTGAGTTATTACAACAACTCGGCCTGACGTGCCTGTGACAACCCAAGCCGATGCCAGATAATTGCCCCTGTGCTCGCCACTTAATGAACATAATTACCACGTTCTTCGGTGTTCACCCCGTGATTAATTGTTACAACATTTCTTTGTTGGGTTCCGACAAATTACCCCCTCGTACCACCATTGCCATTTTCACATCAGGCAATCATAAAGTACGCAAGCAGGCACTCATAAAGACAGCCTAGAGCCACTTGAGAGCCATGTTGGGATTATTGAAGGAGGCAGAGGAAGTTAAGGACTCGCCAATCAGTCAATTATAATCATCGGGGAAAGGTTTTTGAAGCTGTCATTTCTCTAGGAAAGGAGAAGAGGGGATCTCATGAGCGCTATATCTGGCGAAAGCACATCAGCTTGTCAGTTGACTCTTCACACACAAACACAAACCCCTTTGAAATGCAGACGCACACACAAATAATATCAAAGGGAGGATCTAAATAACTACAAATGCCTCGGTGCGCACACAATCCTGTCAAACTCCGTGACACATGCGATCTTAAACCAAAACATGTCTACAGAGGAAGTTCTGATCAAATTCATGGGCTCGTGTTTGGGGGCAATTAGCTCGGGCATGTTTCACAGACGACCTAATTGAGAGGCTGTCACCCAGTTAAGCAAGGCTTGTCTTAAGACCATTTGCTTAATAAGCCGTGGCCTAATGCAATAAGGTGCCTATTCCCAATCAGCCATGACAAAGTCTAATTTATGCCAGGCCAAATGAGCAAGAGCAGACAGAGTCCAGGGGCCAATACATGCTCAGGACAGCCAGAAAGTGTGTTCAGAAAGAGTTTGGAGGGATGAAACGGTCCCAGGTAAAACACAGTCTTATGTAAGATGTGAAGAAGATGGAGTGTGTTCGGTAAGGCCTCCTGTAGAGAGAGAAGAGCGTGCTTCTTTTCTCCGCCTGGCACCTCCTCCAGTGCATATATTCATGTATGTATACGCACAAACACAGTTCCATGTTCAGACACCCACAGACACGTGTATACAGTACACACAACCCAGAGCGCTTCTGCGTGATTGATTCAGAGGAGCATCAGATCGCTCACCGTGACAAATAGCTGGCTGACAGCCCAACACAAAAAAGCCCACACCCTAACACCTAACCTGTGAGGGGGACTGGGGCAAGGGAGGGGGCTGACCTAGCAGCAGGCCTCCATCATACCTCTTTTTTCTCTCTTTTTTTTTCAGCAGTCTTTTTCTCCCTCTGTCCGATTCACTTCTTCATTGTCACTCCTCTTCCTGCTTTTTTTCTTCCTACCCTTCTTACTTTTTACCTTTTTCCTTCCCTTTCCACCTCTGTATCCTCATCAGTATCTCTGTAAGGTATCCTGTCCCTCCCTCTCTCTCTCACTCTCTCTCTCTCTCCTTCTCGGGGAGTGATAGATTCCCCCTCAGTTCATTTATCCTGGAAGCGGAGGAGACGGCAGTGTGATGTGATCCATCTCGCCGGCGATGGAGGGAGCGCGGCGTCCCTGATCACAGGCCCTATCAATCTCACTCATAGGGGCCGGATCAGCGCTGCTGTCAGACAGCAGACACACATGGCCTGTTTGCCTGCCTAGGACTTCCTACTGTACACCTTGTGCACCAGCACTCACTGGGGATGTGACTGTAGCTGAGACAGGGAAACCCACAGAGGGGATGGAGCTGCTTCCCAACTCCAGAGGGGGAGATACTTTAGTCCCATTTATTCAGATGCTGCTGGCAGAAAGTGAGCGGGAGTAAGTGTGTGAAAGCAAGAATACTCCAACTTCCCTAACGTGCAGAATGTTTTAGAAAGTTCACCCACGGTTCGCTGTTTGAGCAGCTGAATACAGGTATGAGACAGGAAAGAGGTTAAAGCTCCTGGGAGGAGTTTTTTTTGACATACATAAAACAGACTAAAAATCATATTGAAGGTTTTTTTACAATATACAAAACCAAAAAGACCAGCAGTGTAGAGATTAACCCTTTTTAATGCCTGAAACAGATGCGGGGGAGTTGGTGTGCTGCTGAAGAAAAATCCCTGTTTGATACATTTGACTGTCCAAAGTCAGTAGGATATATTTCTCAGATAACAATATTCAAGCATGTAAAGAATAACATAGGCAAAGACTGCTTTGTCCACAGGGGGCGCCAAAGCTTACACAAACTCAAAGTTCCTTACAGATGCAAGAGCTGAGCTGTTTCCAGTCAAATCTTAAGATTTAATAAGCCTGTTCATTTTAAGAGAAAACTGCACATCTATTTCACTACAGACTTTCCTATATGAAGTACCTGGAAATAGGGACTTTAACTAAAGGTCTGGGTTCATTCCTGTACATGAAAGTACTATGAAAAGCGGCTGGAGTTCCCAAGTAACTCATGATTAAATATGACGTTTAACAACACGAGGATTCGGTAAGACAAAATTCAAAACTATACATCTTAGTGCAATGCACAGTTCATTGGACACAATGACAATTATATCACCACCCAGTGATTCGACAACACTTAATACAGAGCAAGACAATATTTAAATGATCTATCAAGATATCTTACTGACCTAAGAGTATCGCATGCCCCTTAAAAGGTCATGTGTGGAATAAATGTGCGAACTACAAATGTTAAAACTGAAAATTTATTTGAAAATAAAAGACAATGCACCGTGTGTTTTTTTATACTATGTAAGGTTGTATGCTCCAACGGAATTTCATTATTTCATGACAACGACAAATGAACGATTGATGGATTGATTGACTGACTGTTCGTCGACCAGCTACAATCGTATAGCACACTGACAATAAGTGAAGTCATTTCTTTTCCCGGACGCTTCTATCCTTCCATAGTTTTCAGAAAAACTTCTGGTATTTAATCAGCAGTGTAAATCTCATACATCACACTACTTATCAGCAGATGGAAAAGAATTCCCTTTCAAGGCTGGTAAAATGAGAAGTAACTTACACATGGGACTCTACAGCATGTGGAGTTCATCTATTGCAGGTGAGTGTAACTGGCTCTGGAGTGCATCCTTCACCTGTTTCCTCCGCTAAGCATAAAGAGTTAAACCAGCTTTTTTTTTCTCTTTGTTTCTGGAATTGATGAAAGTGCATCTCTTCATTTCTAACTGTAGTCTTTAAGTAGAGACAAGGTGAGTCAAATTGGTCGGGAACGCCATTTAGAGCAACTTTAAAAGACATTTTTGAACCTGATAACTGTTGTATTGACATTTAGTTCCACGCCAGGTTTTAAAATTCCCATACAAAAAGAGTCTTGCAAAAAAAAACACATCCAGCCCAAATGTAGTCTACGTACCTCTGAAAGTTTTATAATACAGGAAGCCAACCATTTACCCACCATGCAACACTGCAAATATCATTTCCCAACCATAAAACATAAATGAAGCTGTATTATGGTTCTATTTTAATACCAACGCACATATTTAAGTTTTGGCAAATATTGACAATACAAGGTTCACCATTTGAGCAGCAGCATTTCAGTCCATGTCAGTCCATGTTTTTCCCGACACACTTTCCATATGCTGTATCAAAACACATTAAACTCTCTCTGACATTCAAGTACACAAAATCTCTCTTGCCCGTGACATAAACCACTCTTTACACACACTCCCCTTTACACACTCTGACACCCCTCAAAAAACACTTCCCTGCTGACGTGTAACACTCTCATGCACTCATCCACAGACACTTCATAACCTGACATGCATCACCCTGACACGCACACACATGCACACATCCACACACATCAAAAGCAGTGGGCTGTAAAGCGCTGTCCCTATCCACCCCAGACAGCGTCGACCAATCAAATTAGGCCTGATCAAAACATGCCATTCAAAGCCAGGGCCGGGCTGGGGGGGTGGGGGTGGGTGGGAGGGGGGGGGCATTCAGGGGAGCACAGCCGACGCTCTGACCTTGGGAGCAATTAGCATGACCAGGGAGGGCGAGAGACGGAGACTGAGACTGGGAGAGAGAGAGTGGAGAAGAGAAGGGGGGTAGAATAAAGAAGGAGGTAATGCAAAAGCACCCCCACCATAACAGATCTGCAAAAATAGAAGATGGAGCCCTCTGAGGGCCCACTCAGCACAAGGCCCTGGACTTACCAACCTCCTCCTCCTCTGCAGCCTCTTCACCCGTGCTCCTCTGAGTCCTCCCAGAGATCCTGAGTGCGAGACCAGGACCCAGGTTTCCCCCTGAGAAAACTGAGGCCTCATCTCTTCTTCTTCCTCAGACTCCCTCTCATTAGATCCTGCATGTCATATATGATTTTGTCGGTCATTAGGTTCCATAAGGTCGCTGATATATGTTGAGGTGAAATTATACTGTGAGTTGGACTTTAACATATCTCAGAGTTCCTCATTTCAAACAGAATAAGATCAATAATTAGACTGAAATCCCTCGATACACAGTCTCAACATTCCTCAGATACCAAGGTATACTATCATTAAACATCCAGGAATTAACCAAAACACAGCTCAGTGAATACAACTCAAACATCTCCACTCTTAAATGTTGTCTTTTCAGTGATCTCCGTTTCAACACCTCCGTTTCCAATCAGAGCCTGCAGCATTTGCTAACGTTAACATTCTTCAGCTGTGTTTACACAACCACATATTCCTCCAGCGTAGAAACGGCCCCGCTGACACCCCACCCCAAACCCTCCGGCTCCCCCCAGCATCTACCTGGGAATCTAATTTCAATCGACTGGCAGGCAGAGGAGGTTTGAGGTTAGAACCATACAGTAAAAAGGCTCGGCAGGGCCGCCTAAGCGAGGTGCGCAGGTTCAAATTGTTTTCTATAAGTCACCTCTATGGGGGATTTGTGTTTATCCCTGGCCATTGATTTGTTGCTGGGGTTCATTGGGTAAGAAGGAGAGAAGGGGAAGAATGGTAGACCAAAGAGGAGAATCCAGGAGAGGTAAAAAGAGGATCTTCGTCCTTCTGGTGGACCTCCACAGAGGGTTGAGTTAAGGAGGAGATACATGGTTGGAGATTGAAACTGTGTCATTTCTTCATGTATTTTTTATACGCTGAAGATTGTTTACAGCTCACTCTGAAGCTACAGCTGGAACAATAACAGACTTTAAATAGCATCTCATATCAATCAGAGATGCCTTATTGTTTTTTGATTCACTATTTGCTCAATTATCTGTTTTTTACGATTGAAAATTGAGGTTAAAGCACGCTTAATGGAGAGTAAAATAAAGCTGCAGCTATGATTGGATCTATTTTGTGTGTTTTGTGTGTTTCAAACGTATGGTAAACTCTTACTCAGTAGTCACTTTAGACACAAAAGTGTGCACATTTCCATAAAATGACAACTCCGCTCTTTGCATAAGTACATACAGAAGTTTGACAGTGTTGCGCTGTTTCTTTGCCATATCTCTTTTAGATAAGTAGAAACCTCCCACATAGGTTGGAAACTGTTCGGCTTTAATGTGTTGTGTATATTCATGTGCATACGAACAAAAAAGTGGCGTGCTTTCATTATGCTTTGCTAAACACTTTGGCATCGATTCAACATTGCGATATAATTTTCCTCTTGTCTTCTTCTCTATTCCAGTTTGTCTCGATGAAACAATAGGATATTCCTGATGGGGGATTTCCATTTCCCTGCATTGTTCTACGCGGCTCTTGTCATTCTGCGTCTGTTGTTCTCTTCTCATAACGCTGCTGTGGAGCTCGCCCCATGACTCGCCTGTTTCAGTTTCACTTAGTGGCTTAATTACCGCCGAGCGTCTTCAATGCAAACGATGAGAGACAAATGGAAAACAAATACAATCAACACACTGTCTTATTAACCAGGTTGTCTGATCCTCCTCTACACCTCTCCTGCTAGACAATACCCTGCCTCCATGTGTGTTCTGTATACTACAGGAGAGGCTGTGGAGTGAATGTAAACACAGGTTTGCATATGCATACAATGCAGCATTGGTTTGTAATTGGGGAAAAGCTAAAGGGTTATAGGGACGGTGTATTACTGGGCCCATCATTAAGTTTGAAGAGAGCAAACATGGAAGCAGCCAAATGTAAACTGAAGCCACTTCAGTCTAATGTATCTATCTACAGATGCTCGTGTTTAGAAAAATCAGAATTTATTCACATAGTGCTTTAAGAAGGATCATATAACAGGACGGTTTAGAAAATGCAGCAACCACTGGTGAAGAGATGCAACGAATAAACGCTACCAAAAGGGAAAAGAGGCCAGATAAATGGTTCAGTTGCCTCTAAAGTGAAAGATGAAAGATGACCCACACTGTCACTGCTTTAGTAAAAGAGGTTATACCTACAAGATGATGAGTAAACCATGAAAACCCATCTTCTTGTGGAGAGGAAGGTGGTTCAAAAGTCAACGTTGATATCAGAATATATGTGAACACCTGGACCTTTTTTTTATAGCTGATACGGTGACTCTTGAAGTTGATTCTTGATCTACATTTTGTCGATCTTGTATTTCTATTGCTCTACACGTTCTTATGATTGCTCTTGTATTGTATTGTATTTTATTTTATTATTTTGGCTTGGAAACAGATCTGGGTACCAGTTTCGAACCACAAACTGTCAAAGGTGTGGGGTATGACAAATAAAGTTCCTTGAATCCAATAGATGGACCAACACAATGACAGCTTGTGCATGCCAACGAGCACTCCTCTAGCTTAAATGTGTTACTGTATGGAAGAACTGTATTTTGAATTGTAGGAAACATACAGTAGACACATAACTAAATGTATGTTTTTTAAAAAGATAACATATTTCATTTATAATGAAATTAAATTTGTTTTGGTCTAGTTTGATGTCAAAAAACTAGATCATGAATAAAATGAAAAAAGGGATGTATATTTATATCGGTATCGTTATCTCTCAATATCAAAATACTGGTAATATTTTATGTTAAATAGCATTGATACACAGATAATATCAGTATTGATCTGTATTAGTATCAGTAAAATAAATTAGAAAATATTGGCATCTGAATTTAGCACCTCAGTCCTTCTTTCAATGTTTAAACAATTCATTAAAATAAGGACAAAATTGTGTTTTCAGACATGTTGATGTTCTAGTGGTACGGTCACCTGTTAAAAAATGGTTTTTGACCAATCTTTAACCAAATTTCACAGACAAAATTAAGAAGAGCTCACTGGGTAGTCTGATGATCCGTCCATAAGGTAACAAGCCGCTTCATTTAATTTCAACTCTAATTAGTATTACTGTTATTGATTGTTTGATTAATTAATGGAAAACAGCTGAGTTAAAAATCCATAGGCATGAGTCGTAGAAACCTAACAAAATAAAACGGACCATTCGTGAAACTCCTGAGAGGGTTACTTTGTCTAAACATGAGTAGAAATATTTATTAATGTTCTGAGAAATAGAAATGTATCAGTTGATTTACTAACTTTTTTAAGTTCTGAACATGGTTAGGTTTAATTCTACGTCTGATCTTTACACGTCTTTGTTTCTTTTTTTTTTAAATCTAATTCTAATTTTATTCTCTAATACATCTGTCAAAATGTTATCCCAAATCTAAATTGCCTGAAGCGTCATCACACATTAAATTTAAGTAGAAGCTCATTTTTTATTTATTTTTTTTACTTCAGACCCTGACTGCGGAGAAGTTATACAGTTGATCCATCGATGGATGTGTTTTGGTACATGCTTGATCAGCCAAGCATGTTGTGGATTTCATCAAGGAGTGTGTATTCATTTGTGTTTGTTTAGTTTGGGGAGCAAGTCTCAGCTTGACAGTCATCTTGAGGGGCTGGCTCGCTATACCCATAAACAAGACGGGTCCAAATTAGCCGCTCAGAAAGCCTGTGGCCTTGAGTGGTGCTGTCCTACCCCCCAGCTACATTATTGAGCAATGCTAATGATGCAGGCTCTACTCATTTACTCTCTCTTCAACACCATTTCGCTCGCCCTCACATCAGATTTGGCCGGGCTGACTGTGCAGCGAGCTTTACCATTTTAGATTCTAACCCCCCTAAAAAAACAAAAAGCGCACATACCCAGTGGGAGCAAGACTCTTCACTCTGACTCTTGCTGACTGACTCTCTCAAGGTTTTGGTAAGCACTGCTGCTCCTCCAGGTTTTAATAAGCAGCGGAGCACAGGGCTTGTGTGTGTGTATGTGTGTATGTGTGTATGTGTTGTGTGTGTACGTGTGTGGCTGTTTGTATGTGTGCGAGTTAGAACAGTGAGCCGGTAACGAGACATACGCCCCCTCTACCACCAGCACCACCACAACCAGCGCCGCACCACTGTTTACTCTAGCAAATCCTGAACGAGGCCGCGGTGCTCCGGAGAGAGCTTTGCTCCTGTTAATTGGTCATTAAAAGTAGTGGTTTGTGGGCCTCACTAAATCTTTAAACAGGCCATGAAATAATAAAAGGGGGAGGTTTGTCACCGCTGTTAGCTCCCCAGAGCAGGCAGAGAGGAAGAGAGGAGAAAGGAAAGAGGAGCAGGACTCGGCTTTTGATCATTATCTGCAGAATTAACATGACTGATAATAATTGCTCTGTTCATTTCGGGCCTTGTAAATACATGGTGGATGTGGGGCTGTACGGCGGCAGATGAAAGAAGGTTGTCATTGATGTGTGAGGGGTAGAAAGAGGTGGGCTGGAGGGGAAGATTGTGGCAGTAATCATGATTAGTGAGAAAAATTCAAAGTCTTGTTAGACACAGGTTCAGGCAGCGACGATAGCTTGTTGTTCCTCGCGCTGAACCTACAGCGCTACGTGCGTGTTTGACACCGGCTGCTTTAGAAGTGCGCGGATGCATGGTTGTGTTGAGCTCTGGCAGAGGAGATGCCGCTGAAGATGCTGCAGAACAGGCGATGGATTCGCACACTGACAATCCTCTCCTCTTATCACTAATGATATCAAAGAAAGTCGGTGTAAAAAGATGACACCAGCAGGATGGAGACAACAGGTGTCAAAGCACTCACACAGATGCACACACGTTCCCACACACACACACACACACACACACAAACCATACGGTGTATTGTACCCTCCTAAGCCCTGTGAGAGTAATGATTCTGTTATACTTGCATGGCTTCTCATATATTGATTTGGACCAGGAGGAGGCCCCTCCCGCAGGGGCCCCATTCCTCGGCTCCCCACCCAGCTCCTATTGTGCCTGTGTGTGCGTGTGTGCAAAATACCAGCAGTTGGTGTGTCAACAGAGGCTGTGTGTGTTTGTGTGTGGAAATAAAGGAAATAAAGAGAAGACGCAGAAGTTCCTGGATCTCACTGACATCTTCACACAAACACTAAAGCCCGAGCACACACATGCAGAAACGCATACATGCACACACAACACATGACCGTGCACGGCCTCATTGTTGGGGTATCAGTTCAAGCCGTCAATAATGGCGCAGTGGACTGTGAAGGGACAGGCATGACCCAGACTGCCCACAGTGTGGAGTTTGTGTGCGTGGAAGGATCCATACAATCCTGTGAGCTCACACACCCAAAGACGCACACGCACGCACACACACACACAAATGAAGAGAGCCTGATCGCTGACCTATATGACCTCTCCCTCCTCACCACCCTCCTTCTGTCTGTGTGTTGGCCTGCGTGGGTGTGTGCGTGTGTGAGTTTGTGTGTCCTATACAGACCCCCATTTTTCCTCCCCTTACCCCCTCTGTCCCTCCCCTCTCCTCCACCACCGTCCACCCAGACCTCCCCATTGTTTCCTCTCCTCCCCTCTATTGTCTCAGCTGATAATGGAGGGATGAGCAGCCGGTGAAAGCAGGGTGCTGATGTAGAGAACAGTCTGCTGGAGGGTTCATCATTCAGGCACCCTCAAAAAAAAAAAAAAACCTTCTGATACGTTTTGTTTTGTTTTCTTTTTTCGACTAAAACTTAACTCGAAAAAAGTGAGACTGCAAAAGTGTGTAAATCCACCTGGAGGCTAATTACCTGCATCAAAACCATTATTACTTGTCTATTTAATTGAAAACCAAATCACACTTGATTTAATTGGAAATTAGCATAACACTTTTGCCATTTATTTTAATGCACACAGACCTTGAGTAATTTTCATGTTTTAAATCACTTCCCACGCACAACTTTTTACATCGCCCATCTTGAAAGTGTTGATAAAGCAGCAGACATCCTCAATTCCTTCTCTGAACCATCATACAAATTTATTGTCCGCAATATGTGTTTCCTTGACGTCATCCATCACGCTTAACCTTCTTTTTTGTTGCCCAAAAACTAAAAATGGATCTCACTTTTGCAGTAACAAAGCTTAAATTTGTCTTATTGCTACTTTAACTGCTGTATTTCAAGTAAAATGAACCCACACAGGTAAGACATGAGTCTACACAGGAGATACATTTGACCTATGAAGTAATATTAGGGGAAAATGGGCCCTTAAATTCGTATGCTAGCTTACTAGGTTTTGGCTGCCATCTTCAGGCGCTTGAGGGAATTACACTCTGAACACAGACAGGATTTTACAAGCCCTAAAGCTAAACATGGTGATTGTTCCTTCATGAAAATTAGACATCCCCACCCCTAATCTCTTCTAAATTCATTCAAGGAATTGTCAAAGCCATAACCTTAAGACTTGTATTACACATAACCATTAACTGTGGCGTCTGTTTACATAAACGCACATTATCAGTTGGAACTCTTTGCAGATTTATACACATGTTGATTATTTTTTCCCTCAAAAGCATAAATGGTTTATGGCCGGGAAATAAAAGAGCAGAAGAGTCATCGCATTAATATATGACACGCTGAAGGCAGAATAATCACTGGGCTTAAACTATCATGGAGACGTACGCGGAAATAATGTCTCAATACTCTGATAGCTTTCAGACCACTTCTGCAAAGTTTACAATCGGAGCCGCTGTGGAGATGTATTTTTTCTTTTTTTATGTACAAATCTATGTGGAGCATTAGGTACAGTGAAGAGATGTGAGCTTCAAATCATGCTCTGCACCCTCCGGGAGTTGTGGTATTAAATAAGACCTACCTTTGGAGCATTAGTGGAATTCAATATGTGCAATGTAATTATTCTGCTCAATAAGCCACTGGAGGAGGATATTCCATTTACTACACGCTCTAAAGCAGGTACAGTCTGGGGCTGTTTTATGTTCGCACAATATAAGCAACATGCTACTGGTTAAGGGGGAAAAATTACACATGCATTTTTTAACGCGTTAGCTGTAAGCATACGATTAGGATAGGGTACCATTTATGCACCATTTGTGCACCATTTATGCATTTTAGAGCTGTTGGTGAAGATGGAGGGAAACCAGTAGATTAATTTTATATAGGAGGCAAAGCTGCTGCTGCTGAAATGACAGGTGAACCGGTTGAGTTGACAACACTACAAAACAACTTCTGGAGAGAGTTGATTATCGAGCATTCTCCATAATTTTAGGATGTGTTGCTTTTCTCTGTTATGTAACGTTTTTTAATGATTTTATGTGGTCTTTGAGTGTTGGTTGGATAAAACAGGGAGATCGCAACCTCACTTAAGGTTATCAGATATCATGATTCGCATCTTGAAACATTGAATCAGCTAACTAGGTGAGAAAAGCAGATAATGTGACGACTTCTCGTTCAAAAAGTGGCCAAAAGTTTCTGGTTTTAAAGCCGTACTCTCTTGTAAGAAGAGCATAGGTACAGCGTTAATGGACAAAGGCGAGCAAGAGTGAAGAAAATCAAAGATAGTTTCTTGCAATGTAAGAAAAAGTGTGATAATACATACAAGCAACACAGTGCTGGAGTCTATCTGCAGTGCCACCAATTCAAAACATAAAGAGCTCAAGTTTGAGAAGCGAAACAGAGAGAGAGGGAGACAGAGGAGGGGGCTTTGAGGGGGGTTATGCGTTTCATGCTGTCCCAGTTGCCTAAAGTGATTCTCTCAATAATGTATTAGAGCACTTGTTTATTATTTACTGTTTACACAGCTCAACTCATGCTGCCTTTGTGGAGTGACATCCTCACCCGCGCCGTCTGCGCAGAGCAGCTGAAACAAGACGCAGCGCAGACAAGGCAAGCTGGGCGCAGACAGACAAGCAAAGGGGCCCCGCCAGCCGGAGCGGGCAGCCAACCAAACCGGGCAGCCACGCGCTCCACGCCACGCTCAGTTGATGCAAAGGCACTGGACTGAGAAATAAAAGACATCTCGGTTCATAGGAGCCGTTGTACATGCATCCAGAGGTTGTCAAAGAAAAAAACACACATGCTCAGAGGGGGTTGGAAAAGGGTGAGGGTGGGAGGGGCGCCGAGGGGGTTTGGTTATTAATATTTATGCAGACACCTAACCGGCCAACACCCCGCTAATCTGCTTCGTTATCAGTTTATTTTCGTTTACAGTAAGGAAGGCTTTGAAACCTGATTAACGACGGACACACAATGTTGTTTTCTGAGTTTCTCAACCTCTGACTTATCCAAAGAAAGCCAAAATAAAGCTTCTCCTCTTCGAACTTTGGGAACATTAAAAAAGAAAGTAGAGAAAATCCACTTTTTCAACTTGATGATTGAGATTACTAAAGTTTTCCTCAAACAGGATGGTTTTAAAGCTTCAAACAACATGATTTTAAACCTTTCTCTGAGATACATGTTCACAAAATGTTTACAACAACAATACAACTCAGAACTGTTTGTATTTCAACACAATAAAGTGAACTTTTTCATGTTTTTGACCTTTTACTAAATGTCTGTCTCGATGTGTAATGCCCATCGATTTATTATGGCGTAGAAAATTGATTATATGTTGTCTGTAACTCAAACTCATCGACGATTTATAAAAGATAAAAATATTTGTAATGAGATGAATCTAAAAATAAAAAGGAGTGGGGCCATGAGCTCTGATAAAAGACACAGAAACTTGCGGCTCATCTTCCAGTGATTACCTGCCTCTTGGATTAAATAATTATCCCGGTCTTAAACATAAAATAGAAATTATTCTCTAATTATCCTCTGACACATAAGTAGCAGAGTTTGCATCTCCTCACAGCACATGCGAGGTGTTTATTCGTGGAAGGGAGCGCACCGATATGAGTCGGGTAATTACAAATAAAAAAAAAGTCTATCTCTGGTCATAGCAGACAATAATTGCATCCTCTCGTGTACACATTAAAGTAAATCAGTTCCCAGGCCAATTTCTTAGAAAAAAAAATAAAAACTGTGGAGGTAGACACTTACACAAACACACAAACACACAAACACAGCAGACACTTACTTACTGTACCCCCAAAAACAAAAACAACCACACAAACACACACACGCACACACACATGCAGCGTTTTCAAAGTCATAAAACGAGGGGACTTCAAATGCAGCTATTTGTTTGGGGCCTGTTGTCGTGGGAATAGGCAGTGCGACTGTGCTGGTTCATTAGAATTCCTTTCAAGTTGTGGAGTGCGGCCTCCCTGTGTTCCTCTCCCCATATTCCCTGACCCCGATGCATCTCCACGGGGCTGAGGTAGGGCGGGGCACAGGGAAGGGAAGAGGAGGAGGTAGGGTTTGGAACTAAAGCACAGCACATCACATTAGTAACACACACTAACATGCAAACACACTTTTGGTTGTGCATATGCGACGGGACACCACAAAATATACTGTACTGTGTCGACACACACCGGAAAGAGTACTTGAACTGGATGTGGAGTCACCGCAACTCCCACGGAAAAAGTAAGAGGAGAGAAACACACACTTTCTGCAGCAGACAGGCACATAATGCAGATAAACAAATACACACACACACACACACAAACCCAGAACTCTCCTCCCTAACAGTGTCACCTCGCTGCATCACCCTCTTAGGGATGCAGGGGGGAGGTTCGCCTCAGCAGGCACAGCTCAACGTTCGGTCACAGGAGAGAGTGCGATGTTGTGTTTTTGCCACCAGAGATGATGGCAGGGAAATTGTTTGTGTAATGCACCTGGATCTTTTCTGGCACACTAATAATTACTCCCCTCATCTGCCGCAAGAGCAGCTAAATGTTGCCTCGACAGTCCTCAAAATTAGGATGAATTCAGAAGTGTCTGCATCAGACGGTGATTGAAAACGAGTGAGTGACATTTCAAACACAAGCCTCGATTACCAGAGAGAGAGAAAATTATCATTGTGATACGCAGTCGTGAAGTACTAATGGATCAAAACGATTTCAGTGAACACATCGGGAAGCATGTCAGTGACTTATATTATTTTAAGTTGGTGTTCCTCAAGATCATTATTTTATCTGATTTTAAGATGTTTACTCATGTTTCTTGGACAAACTAAAAAAATAAACGGGCAAAAAAAATATATTTATGTCAAATACACTAGGGGCAGGAATCACCACGGTATATTATCACGATACTTGGGCCACGATTCGATATTATTGCGATTTGTAACATTTTTGCAATACAGTGAGTATTGCGATACAATACATTGCGATTTACACAATTTTTTAAACTGTTTAGCTAATTTAGCATTTGTCTTTCTTCATGTTTCTTATTTACGCAGTATTTTATTTTCATGTCGCACATCTTGCAAACCTTATAAATATTTGTTGTACTAACTTTTTCCTGCTCTATGATGTCTCCTCTGCCAACCTCACTGGAAAAACAGTTGATTTTATTTTTCCATTATCATAGATTTGACTTTATATTAGCAACTAATTTAAAAAATCGATACTTGATCAATGAGACAATATGATATATCACCAAACAAAATACTGCGATACTATGCTGTATCGATTTTTTCTCCCACCCCTAAAATACATCCTTCATTTTTTCCCCTCACAAAACAGCAAAGAACTGTCATTTTAACAAGATGGACAAAATAAATAAATTTCTACTGAAATGCATGCTGACAAATAGTGATTTTTATCTCTTGAAATTGATAAACTTTTTATAACAATGTAAAAACTCAACAGCCAGTCTTTCTTAAATATTATGGCTTCAAAATCCCACTATGTTCACAGTGTAAGACACCAGTTTAAGAAACCAGCCATGGCATAACAAAACAGACTCCTTATGACCCATAGTATATGTGCCAGAAAAAAACATGGCTGAATAATGTAATGAGATGTAATGAGATGAGATTTCTCTCAGCGTTCGTTCACGTTTTTGCAGTACTGTCCAGTTTGCAGAGTAAAACCGCGGCCTGTTTAATTTTTTTCCCCTCTCAGTTGGAGTGAGGTCACTTTGGCAGGCTGGGCTCCCGGACGAGACCCCAGCGGGCGCCAGACTGCAGGGAGAGGGACGCGGAGCTGCTGCCCGTCACAGCCCACTGGTCGCCTGACGGGCCCCAAGGCCTGCCAGACTGACACCACCCCCGGCCGGGCAGGAGGTAGAGAGGGGGCAGGGGAGGGGGCCAGGGAAAGGGGTGTATGGAGGTGGAGGTTGGCATAGGGGACAATCAGTATCCAATGCATTTATCTATCTCATATGGTCGAAGAGAGGGTACTGAGATAAGGGACTGTGAATGGTGTGATACAGTGCCCACTGAGGTTGTTCCAGGTGACACAGACACAGAGAGAGAGAAAGGAGAAGAAAAAAAACGCACTAGACAGCAATTACTCAGCACATAATAGATAGATAGCTACAGCATTGTAGTTGAGTCAGAAAAAAAATTCAGACTGATAAAAAAAGTCATGTATTATCTGTGAGAGAAGTGAAAGACTGAGATAGTGGAGAAAGAAAAAAAAAAGAAAAGGATAAAGGAGTGAAAAACTACTTGTGTGTGTCCCAGCGTGTGTCTGAGGCAGGCGGAGGGCAACACTCACAGAGTCTCTCAGGCGTGTCCAGAGCATGAGCCAAGTACCGCTACTACCTCTAAGTGCACACACACAAAACACACACACACACGAATTCTCCTATACATGCACACCTGCAGTCTTACACACACTCCAGTGCTCAGAAACAGACCCACAGCTCCGGACATGCTTGCAGTTCATCGCACCGACACGCACACGCAAACTTTTACACGGCAATTATAAAGTTGATGCAAAGTCATACTGGACGTGTTGACTTTTTCCCCGCTTGTTCCAGCAGGACGCCGACCATCACTCTTATTTTTTCTCCTCGCTTCCCCCTCATGCGAGCTTTTCTAACAAGATGTCTCCTTTCACACTTAGAAAACACACGGATATCTCTATCCTGAGTGACCGCTGTGATATCTCCTAGATCCGTCTTAACGCGATATGTTTGCACTGGGAAACGTTTGCATTCCCAGTAGCTCTGGGACTGAGTGCAACGCATACAGTGTGTATGTAACGTCTGAATACATGACACTCACCTTCAAGATATTCAAATTAAAAAACACACTTTTCAAGTTCACTTTTGCAGGTACACATTATAACCGCACACGCTTAAAAAAGAAAAAAAAAAAACACCCTCATACTTGGAATAAAGCAGCGACTGATGAGCAGAGCAGATTGAATCTTGTCAGGGAAGGCTTCGTGTTCCACGGCGGAGCATGCTCTGTAACTTTGCAATTAAATAGTAAATGGATCAATGTTTGTATATGTTTGTGTGTGCATGTGCGTGTTTGGGGGGCCTCAGGGGCCCTTCCTAATGAGCTATCTGTGTGCATTTCTAACAAGAGCTCGGTGCAGCGCCCACGGCACTGTCATCCTGGGCCGCGGCTGACCTTGCTCGGCTGCTAGGCTGTGTCGTTTGCTATATTTATGGCACCACCACCATCTTGCCGTGTGTTCCTCTGTGTGTCTATGAGTGTGTATATTCAGCAGTGTGCGCATTCCAGGAGGGCGGGAGTGCAGGAGGGGGGCTCACTCAGGAAGCAAATACTGTGTATATCAGCATAATGAATCAAGTGAGAGAGAAGGGGGAAGAGGAGGGAGGGTTGAGGGGAGGAAAGGATGGAGAAAGCCATTTTCCCTCTGCTGTTTTCTCCCCTCTATGCAGCCAGCCCCCCTGGTGTCTATTCCCTCTATCCTGCTTTCTTTTCTTTTTCACCCTTTTCCCCCCCTGTACCCCCATCCTTTTATTTATTTGCTCGACCTCATCAGATAGCTGCTCCCTCTTTCAGCACAGTGTAAACACCGAAGATTCAGGCACTGCAAGGTGGACTGTACACAACACTCAAGTGCTTATTTGATGCTCCGTCTGTGTGCGTTTGATGCTGTCTCTCCCCTCTCCAAACAAACAGCATTAACTCTGACAGTGTACACACAGCAAAAATGTAGGCTCATAGCATGCATCGCTTCGTGTGGAGCCGCTGTGCATGCATGCAGACGGCTGTATGGGTTTGGCACAAACCGAGCCCGGCTGAATCACCAATGAAATAATAACAATGCATGTGTGGGGAATCAACTGGACCCCCTGTTCGTTTCTGGGAGAGCAGGAGAGACAAACACATACACACGCATGCACAAACACACACACTAAGATGCATGCACGGCCTCAATATGCAAAGCTCCCCTGTGCTGGGTTAAGGGAGAGGGGCGTGCTGCTGTGAATACTCATCTGAGCCTGGCAGAGGGAGCTGTGTGTATCCCCCCATAACCTCAGGGCGAGGGGCAGAGGAGGGAGCTCCATTTGCGTGGGACACACATACACGAGTGGGGGCACACACACACACACACGCCTGAAAACACATTTTTACACACACACACACACAAACAGAGTGAAAATCAGACACATGCATGTACGCTCTTACGCCAACACACACACACGTATAACCCGAGCGTACTCACGTTCACACACGCTGGCGATAAGCGAAGTAGCACTACGGGGAGGGGGCGCCGTGACCAAAAGTAAAGTTTTAATTCGGTCCTCGGGGACACTGCTTACTCATCCAACTCCCCCAAGGACTGACTTCCTCTGAAATCTATTCAAATCACATCTCTCCTCCGCCTTTTATTGCATTTCTCATATCCCCCCATCACAAAGTGACAAATCACCACACACTCCACAGAGCCAACATCACTTTCTCTGCATTTTTGGGGGGCAGATAGATTTGGGGGGGGGATTTTTGACTTTTAAAGTGATTAGAGAAACTCACTTCCCACTGGTTCTTCCATTATTTTCCAGAGTATCATTGTACATGAGCTGTGTGGCGTTTGGAGTTGAAAAGTTTATTTACCTACAGAAATGTGTACAGCCTAAACACCACAAGTAAAAGAAACCTCTATCTGTCCGTTTTCACACACACCGAGTTGTACATCATATTCTTCAAGTTCTGAGCACCTTTGCAGACAAAGCTCACCGACTTTCTCCCTCCCAAATGCGCATCAAACACTAATTCCATCGCACACTTCCACACACACACGCACACAAACAAACAAACACACAAGTGTAGGTACACACACTCTGCTACTCAAGTCCCACACTTCCTGCCAGTGTTCTCTCCTCCATTCTCAATAAAGCAGGTGATGAGAGCGTCTAGGTCTAATTAGTTTATGCAGACGTATGAAGCTGGTGGGACAGGCAGCATTGTTATTATTTCTCTGCCAGCCCACTGTAGACACACACACACAAATGCGCGCACACACACGTACACAACAACAGCAGTGACACTTACAACGTCGCCTGCCGCATCCCGACCGCACTCACTGAAGACAGTAAAGAGAGGGGGGGGTGAAATAGCGGTGCGGGTGAGGCTGGATGAGAAAGGGGGTGTCAGGATGAGGGGAGCCTGTGTGCGAGCTTGAGACGAGAGGGAGAGAAGCGCCACTTGATATATTCGTAATGTTCCTTAATATTTTCATTTTGATGTAATTTGTGGCCCCGGTTTTTTAAATATCCGCTCTGTAATAATGTTTAATTTCAAGGGTCAGTCTGCCAAGGAGTATATTAAAGCTGATAAAACTCATTTTCCACAGGCCCAATATCGCGCCCAGATCAGGTTAGGAGGCCAGCCTCCCTGAATATTTCATCTTTTATCATGCCGATAATGGGAAGATGACAGAGGCGCATTATTACAATGAGAGAATTGCTCATTTTCCTGACGGGGAGGGCTGCCTGGCTGCTTGGCTGCCTGCTTTCCCCGGCTGCCTGCGTCAATGACTGGCTGGGGCTGCCGAAAGCCAAGGGCTCCGCAGCCGAGTGTTTGTCGTAATAAAAGAAATTCTTCCCTGGGAGAAGGAGAGGTGACGAGTGGAGAGGTGGAGAGGAGGCGCAGGGAGGGGATAGAGAGGTGGAGAAAATAAGAGGAGAGGTGAGAAAGAAAGTGAGAGAGCGAAAAGCAACTTTCTTCTACCACCTCACTTATTTGATTGCGATGAATAATAAATGTGTGGGCTTGCAATTGTGGCGGTGGTGGCGGCGGTAGAGGGGGGGCACTGCCAGAACAGCAGTAAATGTGTATGTGTGTGTGTCTATGTGTGGTGGTAGGGATGTGGCAGGGTAGGGGGCTAGGTGATAATCACAGATTTGAAGAGGTTCCCCATTCTGAATTAACCCATTTAATTGAGCTATTAGGAAAGAACAAAGCTGAGGCTATGGGGCGAAACAAGGGTGCATAGTTGGGGAGGGGGGCTAAAGTCCATCAGCAGCCCTGGGAATGGAACCTGCCCTGCACATAAATGACTAACTGGACCGTCTCTGGCGCCAGAGCGGCTTAATAAATGGACCCAATCAAGGCTGTTCTGGGGACCACCTGTGTCCCGTACAGGTCAGAACCATTAGACTCACATTAGAGGGCCATGATAGACGCAGGCGCCACTCCAGCCACCCCAATAATGAGGATAATAAGAGTACCATAATGGCATATTTATGGGCTAGCCGGGACTGGCTGCAGTGTTTTGGGTTATTCAGATTGCAGTGGAAGAGGAGAAGGATCTCAGAGACAGGTGACTAAGAGACTGAATGGCTCGAGTATAAGCAGCGTTCAATACCGCAGCCTTCAATTTCAATTACCAACATGATTACGGGACTTAATCCTTCAAATGTAAAGCTTGTAATGAAAGACAACGCAAACGAGTACACCAGGAGCGATCGGAATAAAATTACTCACAAGAGACCTGGTTATGATACATTTACATTTCTACTGGGTGTGATGAGTGAAGGATCTGTCACACACCAGGTGGGCCTATCTTGGCATTTAATATGTTAATCTGTAATCTTCCTCTTCATTTAACTCTCCTACAGGCGCCACGTTGAGGGGATCTTCTCGTCTTTGTCCCTCTTCAGTACGCTCATCTACGCAAATCTTTAGCTGTATTTAGCATGTTTTACCTAAGATAATATCTTAATTGTTGTTTCAGAAATGTGCAAAACAATGATATCAACTATGTCACTTACTTTGAAAAACAAAATTATAGTATGCCTTGCAAGTCCACACACTGAACACGAACACCACCAGCCTCTGAATCGATGTTGTTAGTTTTCTTTTCTATGCACATGGATAACCCTTTACAACCATCGTATGTTAACGGTCAAATGTTGCTCAAAAGACAGATTTGCAGACCCTGTCAGACAGTAGTTGGCAATAGAGATCATGACAAAAGCTTCAGGAATCGGGAGTTGACTGGAACTGACTTAGAAAACTGACTTGAAAACATTGGCATTAAGACTTCCATTGGTCGTTGGCTTTTGTTGGTCTCTCTGTAGTTATTTTCAATATTAGTTCACTTTAAAATAGTTTACTTGTACTTTCCCTTGTAAATGTCAACACTTGTTCTGATGATTTCAATGTTTTTTGTTTTGTATTAACACGAATGACTCAGTTTGTAACTCAGTATGTAAATAAGACCTGTTTTTCTTGATCATGTTTTTCTTTTCAAAAAAATCACGATATTGTGGTTCAGCATCAGCCATTACAAGGTCAATATGGCCGCTATTTTTATTTTTTATTTATGTATTCATTTACTTTTTTTTACCCTTATGTTTTTATTATTATTATTATTATTATTATTATTATTCAATAAAAATCTGTTGAAAAATTGTTACTGATGAAAATAACCATGATTTTTTTTTATTATAATGTGCATGAAACGATGGATTTATACATGACAAAATGCCTTAATGGCAATATTTTAAACAAAATGTTTTACTCGTGGGCAGAAACTTTGTTAGAATATTTCAATTGTCGTATTTTGCCAAATAGAAAAAGAAAAAAAGAAAAAAAGAAAAAATTTGATATCAGTTTTATATATCAGCCATCAGCCGACCTGCTCTTTCATTATTGGTATCGGCATCGGCCCCTGAGAAACTGTAATCAGTCGTATCACACACCCCTACACATCTAACTGTGCCACACACACAAACACACGCAAGTTGGCGACATGAATTCTGAGAAATAAGGCTGTTAATTTTTACAAGGCTGAACATTTGTGTGGGCTGTTTCAGACCGATCTTATCAAAAAAAAGCTCTGTCACCAAATCAGCAAAGATATGGGAGTGTGTTAGAGTGAGTGAACCCATACCTGGAGCAACAACAGCTGGGCGGGCTGCATCTGTGCAACACTCCTGCTCTCCATCTGCCTGGAAACTGCAACAAAAAACGAGTGAGAAAGTTAACTTTTAATTCAGTTCAGCTTTCCGTACACCTGTTTCTATTTTGATGCTCATACAACAAGGCTACTTTCAGATGCCACATTCAGCTAATGTTTCTAGTGACACAAGCTTTCTGCTGTTTACTGCCCTTTGACAGCCACAAGATAAGGCAGGCACAGTCATGATCATGTTGACAGTGGTAGGTATCATCATAATTCAACAGAGAATATACTCAACAAAGCACGCAGGTCCAGCCACCATCACTGTGCGCATAATATTATCCTGCAGCATTCATATTTTGCTGAACTTTGGAGTGGGAAAGCTAATATGCACTTCAAAACAAGGGTGGCGCTTACAGTTGGCAATGTCAGATCGGACAAAACAACATCTTTACAAGCTTGTCAGTGATGTCAGGCCAGTGTTTGTTCTTTAAAAAAAAGGTTCAGAGTATGATCAACGTATCCTGAACACAACCCACCCATCCTTAGCCACCCTGGAAAGAGGTGCCAGACACTGTGGGTGCATCCCCGTGGAGAGGAAGAGGAAGTGAAGAGTATCCCAAAGGGCAACGGAGGTCACTGCTGACCAGCGTGACTGCCAATGACCCCAGGGAAGGGTGGGATGGAGTCAATGTGTCTGGACCCCCACCCCAATCAAAAATCTAAAAAATCTGTCACTGTGTTTGGAGGGGATGAGAGGGAGGTGGTGGGCTGGGCCGGAGTGGGGGTTAGGGGGAGTGGGTGATGGTGGGTACCAGACTGGGGCACCTCGGGGGACTTTTGGAGAGGAAGAGCCATGCACCATGTCTCCTGCTACCAACCGTAGTTCCCTCATTTGATTGTGAAGCCATGAATAATGCATGGCGGATGGGACTGAAGGAGGGGGAAGGGGGAGGGATAGAGGGATGGGGGGGACCTCAACCTTAAAGGGGCCCTGCCACAGTGGGAGTCATTACCGATGAACAACCACACTGATGAGCCACGGAGAGAGAGAGAGAGATAGGAGGGAGAAAGAGAGAGAGAGAGAGAAAGATTGGGAATGAATGGAGGAGAAAAACAAACAAGCTATAAAAAAAGAAAGAAGGACGCCCATGAAACCAGGCTTCTCAAACATCTCAAGCATGCCGCTTATTGAGTGTTTTTCCCTCCTCTGTTTTCATCACGCTGAAGATGTTTTGTTGTTGTTTTCATCTGTTCATTCAGCTATTCATAATTTAAATCGGGGAAATACTAAACATCTTTTCCCGCTTGTTTGTATTCCTTCTGATAAGTTTTATCTGAACACAGTCCAGTGCTGAACAGAAGAGTGTGATGTGCTATAAAAAACTTCAAGACTTGGGTACAACCGACAGGCCTCTTCTCATGGCAGGACACCATCCAGAATACTGAGCTCTTCATTTTTCATTGTAAATGAATCTCCAACAACAATGTTAGTGTTTAAATAGCTGATGTGATAACACTTTTTATAAAGCTTGAAATAACTGCTCCATTCTCTCTTTAGGGAACTGTGCGAGGTAAAGTTTATTTTTCACAATCTAAAGCCTGTGCCTTGTGGTTGTTTATATCCATTCAGCCGTCAATGCTCACTCTTTCACTATCCTTTCTTGTAAATCTATCAGACATATTTAATGTGTATGACTGTATAACTAACAAACTACTTATTAAGTGTTAAGTGATGGGACAGAAATTAGTTGGTGAAGCAAATTCTCACCCAACTAATGCAGAATTCCAAAAAGGAATTTTAAATGGATTTTGAGAATTAAGTCATACTTTAAGTCATACCATTTTTTCAGTTATACTCCTTTGATTCAGTTATATTGAATCAGTGTCGATGGTACTGAAAGTGTTGTAAATACACAACATAAAATGTTATCTCACAGACCAATCAGAGGGCTTGTGATCTACCATGTTTCAGGGCAAAGTTACATTTCTTAAGAGACAAACGTTGGGCTATTTACAGTCCTCTGCCTCAATACAGGGACCTACGATGACACAGACTTAACAAGTACATATAAATCAGGCTTAAGAGTGTATGTCATTTTCGAAGGCAGGTTCAACAGAGAAGCCAACTGTCTGCTCTAAAATGAGCAACTTCAAGTTCTTGTGATCTTCTACTACAGCACAGGTTAGAATACCCACTTTTTCAGCACATCAGCACCGTGCTGTGATAGGATTCAAGATTCTTGTTGGACCGGTCAAACACACTGAGTCCATCTATGTAGAAGAGCAGGCTAACTGGCAGTCTGCACCCACTTCTGTACACTGTCTGTCCTCAGCTGTTGAGTATAAGCTTTTTCCACTATATCATATTCGTTATATTAGTGCAGTAATTTTGAATGTTATTTGGCATATTGATTACCCAATTCTTGTAAATTTGTTGTAAATGTACATTTTTTCCTGCTACAACTTTATTCTCTACATAATGACTTTAGTCTTGTAGTATTACAGATTTAATTCCAAATCTCATATCTATTCTATAATGTGGCCAAAATTCCCAGTCAAAGTTCTGTTTTAATGATTTTTATTAAGACAGAGTTTGGCTGACTTTACTCTAATAAAAGAGGTTGGTTGTATGCATCCCTTGAAGATGCAGGACAATCACAATCACATTATGGAAAAAGCACACTGAGCTCTTCATAATTAATGAACACCAAAAAAAGTTTGTTGAATCACAATGCACTGATCCACTGGTTTTCTAACTACCACCTGATGAAGACCAGTGGGTCCAAGGTCAAAACACTGTGATTAAATGAACATTTTGGAGTATTGAGTAAGTATGTGAGCTGACTTTCTCTTTTTTTCCTCTAATTTACCTCAATAGCAAATTTATGATAGGGCTCATGCAAAAGGAAAGATCATATTTTACATCTACAGAATTACCTCTAAAAACGATCATCAATCTCATATTTGAGATGGATAAATTAATGGCATTTTGACAACATCAGCATCATATCAGCATCAGCCCTCACAAGGCCAGTGTTTTTCTAATTTAAAATATATTTTTACTTACTAGTCCAGTTTGATGTTGACATGTTTTGATATCTATGACATAACCCAGCATCTATGTCTATTCATTAAAATCTGCAACATGTTACCAGCTGATATAACCGAGTATGTTCGATTTTTTTGTGTGCGTGGAATAATGACCTTGTGTTTTCTTTCTTTCTAAATAATTTAAAAAAGCTAAAAAGAAATCTGCGAGTTGCTCATGGCAACATTTCACTGTCAATATGTTTTCTGTCTTCATATCTGTAATAACATTTTTTACTTATTTGTTATTGTGTTGTTTTGTCAAATTCAAAAATAAAGTGATACTGGCATTGTTTTTCTATTATCTGACATTCTGAGAAGTAACTGATATATCATGTATATAATCAGTAAATCAATTCATAACACAAACAGTTGGCATAATTATATTTCCTAACATCATTTAAGATAAACACAAACACTGATGCAAACAAATGGCAGCACATTACAATGTTCTCATATTGGGTCAGTGACAAAAAGTCAGAAGGGACTGGTATTGCAAATCTATAAGAACACAATTTCTCTCTGCATATGCAAGCTGGTAGAGCAGGAGGTGGGTGGGAGAAGGAAATGAGCAGAGCCATCCAGCAGTATTGCTGCTGCTAGCAATGTGTGCACGTGTGTGTCTGCGCAGGTGTGTACGTGATCTCGGCTGTGTGCGCGTCAGTGTGTGCGTGTGTGTTTGAAAGCCGTTCCTGCGGCAGCAGCTAAGGCGCTGTAGCAGGACTAGGTGTTATCACTCATTCTGATTCCGTATTACAGCATGACGGATGGGCCCCCGCGGGCCGGTGAGCGTCGCCGCGTGCTTATTACCGCAGCTCTTAAGTGGGAGTTGATTTAGCTTAAATAGGTTGTTTCATAAGGAGAAGACACCAGCGCTGTCACCACTGCTCTGCTGCTCGCTACAGCAAACTGCCACTCTAATTGAATAATGCCTCCTCTACATACCTATTAGGGTACTTAGGTACATAGTGTGCCCCAATTATTGCTTATACAACCTGGCTAATTTGGCCTTCACCCTCTGCACATACTAGTACACACAAATACACACACACACAGCTCCTCTCCCAAATGTGTGATATTCATGATGCTCATATAATCCTCGGTGTGTGTGCGTGTCTGCTCTGTGTGGGTTTGTATTTTAAAGAATTTAATGTTGGAAGATCATCACTATTGCTCCGGTGTATTATCCCAAACAAAACAAATAGGCCTATATCTGAGTCATAAATTCCGGATTTGATACTGCATATCTAATGTGATATTCCTTTAACCTGGATCCAGTGGAATCATCGGATTCTCAATGCTATAAAGTGCAAATAGACCTACACTATGAGGGATTAGTGTTTCATTAGCATATCACAGGAAGATATTTGAGCGTGCGCGTACCAATAATACGAGTGCCATGGTGTTATAACATGGAGGTGGTTACGATGGGAGGAGGTTCCAATAAATTGCGTTGCGATTAGCAAAACGTGGCTGCGTTTCCCTGTCTCAGTTGGCTTTAAGAGATTATTGCTGATGCAACAGTGCGATGGCATGTGAATTGTGTGCTGCTGTGGAGTGGATCCCGTGCCAACTTTCTCTAAGTGAACAAGGCGCCATGGATTCCTGCCAACAACAACATACTCCCAGGGAAGCTAAAGTTGGCCGTCAATCATGAGCCCTGAAATGGAAACACACTAAATTCTCTCGGACCCCCCCTTCCCCCCCAACTTCAGTTTGTCAGACAGACACGAGGATATCTAAACACACGCAAAATGCAGAAAGGTAAAAGAGAGAAAGGTGAGGACTTTTAAGTAAAGTTTGATCAGAGCCTTCAATGTCTATATCAATCATGAGCAGCTGCACCAATGACTTCAGCACCTCACCAACAGCATGGTAATGTCACCAGCGCACTGGCCTTGGGTCAGAAATGATCAGGTCAGGAAATAACTTCACTCGCTGGACAGAAATCCAAATCGAGTTGGTATCTGCTGGACAGGCTGCATGAGCTCTGTATTTGCAATCACATTTATTAAGACTCAATTTCATACATTTTTCCTGAATGCTTAGTGAGTTTGCTTGTAGCAGTAAACACAGAGATTAGAATGAGTATGAAACCACAGCCACACAGCTACTAAATCTCAGTAGATGACCCACCTAGTAGAGCACATACTTAATCTGTCATGGTTGAGTATTTATTGTTTTCTCCATCTTGAGAAAAACCCAAAACCCAACCCAAAAAATACCAGCGATCAGACTAATACCAGTGGACTACCATATCACTTAGATGAGCAGTGTACTATTTTGGATCACCAAAGGCCTGTGAATGAAACCAAAGTGAAGAAGTTAACAGTGCTTGAAAAAAATCAACTTTGATTTAATATTGAAATGCCACACAAAAGTTTGTAGACGAATTTCGCAAAGTTTGCTGCCTATGGCTTTCGTTCAAGCTTCTGGTAATGGGTCGTACAGGTGTTGTCTTCTCACACAGGTGCAGGGTGACCATATTCTGAATCCCCAGAAAGAGGACACAGCTACGCCGGGCAGAGTCATGGAGTTGCGCATAGTATATTTTGTGAGTTTTTCGGTTCGGGTCGAGTGTTTTTTACGCCTTTCTAACTCAGTAAGTCCACGCGAAACAAACTCAAAACTTTCCGTACCAAACCCTGGTCATTTTGAGGGTTTTATAAACTGCCCCGGACAAGGCCAGACGGCCCCCCCAAAAAGAGGACATGTCTGAGTAAAAGAGGATGTATGATCACCCTACATAGGTGGCAAGCCATCAGGTTTGCCCACAAATTTGTTGCTGTTGAGAAGATGGCTGCCCTGACCATGTGCTCTATTTTTATAGGATAAGATTACTGTGTTAGTTTAAAAAGTTTAAAACTACATGGGTTGACCAGGTTGTAATGACAGCACCCTCTGCTGGATCATTTAGTCAGCTACCCTTCCCCAGAATTTCGGATAAAAAGTGACAGCCCTACTGCAGGCCATTCAACATTGTGGAAGACCCAGATTTAAGGAACATCCTCAGGCTGGCATGGTTATATATGCTTTACTCACACTAATTATACAAATCATAGAAAGATATAAAATTATTGAAGTTTGAACATGCAATTGTAAATGTGATTTATCATAAGAAAAACTGACAGCCCTAGATAAATGTTTCTACATTAATGCTAGATAGTAACTTGACATACTGATTTTCTTGCTGTTCAAATAAAGGCTTACTCAACTGACAATCACACACCGACACTGAACAACCAATTTCATCTCCCTTGACATTCTTGTGCACACATTCACACAATTACAAGCATTCACAGCCTATACATTCTGACAAAGTGTGTACACGTGCCCACACATACACAGCCCTGTGGGTGCTTTGCTGTGCCACCTCGCTCTCTTTCCCATGCGTGCTCGCTGTGCCCTCTGGTTGGCGGTGATTGATGACGGCCATGGCAAGGCAGATCATTTGGGTGGCCCCATCTACACAAGACGTAAATCAAATCAGCTTCGCTAATGATTCTCAGACGCTCATCTGGCAGCCACGGCCAGATCCCCATCGGGTCTTTCATGGAGGGACAAAAGAAACATCAATAAGTCCGAGAAAGATTTTATTTGACCAACTGTTCCAGGGATTGACGTCCGATTTCTTACAGAAGTTTAGGTGAAAGACAAACACCTGTCAAGGAAAAATCAAGGGCTCATCATCTGTGCTGCATCAGGAGTCTGAAACTGATCTATGTGTGATGCATCTATTTAGATGTGATGCAAGGTGATGTAATGTAGCACAGGAGGTTGAACTTTTTTTGAGTATTTGACACCAGCTTTACCAGCCTCATCAACCAAACTCCCTCTGTACCAGTCCGAGGTTATAATCTTGTTGCTAGCTGCAGTGTGATTGATAAAGCTAGCAGATGAGAGGACCTCAGCCCTCAGGCCTACGGGGATAACCCATTACATATTTTCATTAAAACGTCTGTCCAATGCTCTGCCTTGATTTGTCCATAATTTATGATGCCATTACAAGCCAATTAGTGCCAGGATCCCCCTGCCCCTGTTCAACATGCCAGGCCTTTGGCAGTGAAGAGAGGGCACACACTGCTGGCTTTAGCTGCATGTGACTGGCAGGGGGTCTGCTCATACCTGTCAAAGCTTCATGTTTTCACTGAACTGTGGTCGAAAAAGTCAGAAAATACTGCAGACAGCCGTCAAAAATATCACACCAGTATATTTCACACCAGTTATTTTAAGTGAGTTTTGCACTTTCAAGGCATGCAGACGCTAACTTGTAAGGAAGCTGGTGGTGCTAGCTCTGCTTAAGTTAGCCACACTGAGTCAACCAGTTTGGCATCATTTGCCCACAGACTGTACTCCCGTGTTTTGCTGTGTTTTATAACTTGTGATCCATTTCCTGAGTGTTTTATGACCTTTGCCCGGGATTTCCACCACATCCAGATCAGCAATTTTTTGCCATACGCCAATTCCTACCTGGTCCATTTGTGAGGCAAATTTCGTGGTGGATTACGGACAGCAGGAATTGCGAGAACTAACAAGAACCGCGGATAACAAGTTGTCTTTAGCCACATAGGCTAACCATATAAGCAGTAAATTGTGTCCTTCCAGAGGAAGAAATCTACTTCTAGACTTATAAAATCAACATGTTTTCATCCATGGTGTCATCGGGGTGAAATGCTGTCTGAAAACCTTCACTTGTTCATCTCCACCCGTTTGCATGGTGTGAAATACGATCCGCCTGAAACACAGTGTTTTATTTTGAAAAGAAGCCGGATGTTTTATTTTGTGTTTGTGCCTGACTTCCTTTCCAGCACGGGTTAATCTGTGCTGAATTAATCCAGCATGCTCCTGCGTCCGGAAAAAATAGAACTCTTGCGATCAGCTGCGGAGTACGGCAATCCGCTGTGGAACCGAAAGAAACTGGCGGAAATTGACACATTAACTTGAATGGTTACGATCAGCTACGATCAACAGATATGGCCTTTTCGTAGCCGTTCCCAATGTAGTGGAAATGGCCTGTGAGACTATTTAGTTAGTCAGACTGTGCACGGAAACGTTGCTGTTTCATAAATCGGATCAAGACATAGTTAAGCATACTGCATTGTGCTCCTCATTATTTATGTGTTTATGTGTTGGCATTTTTATACTAACAAAACACTCGAGTTGGCCAAAGTTCAAAACAATGAAACTATTATTTGTTTTTTTCAAAATGGACTTTCATTTTTAAAAGCAATAACTTTTAGTCGAACAGGTGAGCTCCTCAAAACGCAAATCCATGCTACCAGAAATCACATGATCAGGCAAGAGTCACACTACGACAACAAAAACGTCCCCTTTTATTATTATATCACTCAACCTTTGATTAGCTTTGATCTATTGTTGATCAGTGTGAAATATTAAAGCAGTATTGGCATATTTTGTAGATAGTAAATCTTGATTCTTTCCTCTCTACAGTTATCTGACCCCTGCAGAGGCCTTGTAAGATCCGAAACCTGCATCATCTGCATACAAAGCAAATGTTTAACAGTAGCCTAGCAGAGCGGAGAGTGACTGTCCTCAGCAGCCTGTCTATAAGATAGGAGGGGGGGCGAGAGAGGGAGGGGTCTCATCAAAGCCAGTGCACCCATGCATGAAAGTCAATCCACTGCTTGTGTGTGTTTTATTTATTCATTAGTGACACGCGGCTTGAAAAGGAAGAAGAAAAAAGACTAGAAAGTTCCATTCAAATAAGCATGGCATCCCCCGAGCAGGATTGTAAGAGAGAAAAACAAGGGGGGGGGGGTAAAAGTGTGTGTGTGTGCGTGTGTGTTTCAGTGTGTGTTTGTGTGTGTGTACAAACAGGGTGCTGTGCTGGAGGAAAAAGAGATGAGGAAAGAGTGGGATGACTTCTTTTAATTTGGGGAACCCCTCAGGGGAAATCGGGTCCGTGAACACGCAATTACGACAGTCATCAGTGAAGCGCGCACGTGAGGAAGAGTGGCATCGAGCGTAAAAGAAAAATATCAGGATGGAGAAGGAGGAAATGATTTTAAGTATTATTATCTCAAGACTCTGCCCACCCTCCCCCCACTGATAATCACTTCACTGCATTCAAAGTGTACAATCACACACACATTTGGATTCGTTTCCTTTTGGAAATGATAAACGTAACTCATACATGGGTCATCTATTACAATTAACTGACAGTTTTGGAGGCATAGAGGAGGGGCTAGATCATCATCATCGGCCAATTATCATCTTATTATGGGTGTTAAGTGGCCCCATATTAGGGTCAGTGCCCCTCATTTCAAGGGAGAAATAATAATTGTTGACCTCTGTAATAGGGATGCACAGAGGGTATTTAACACACCCAAGGGGGATCTCATGCCTCAAAACACAAACTGTGTCAGCTCATCGGACAGAAGTTCAAATGATTTTCTATAAAAACTTGATTTTCAGGGTGACCATGTCAGAGATTAGTACAATTGATCACATGCATCACTGCCAGAATGTGACCTGGAGTGTCTTGCAACAGGCCCTGCTCTTACAATTACCAACAAATTCAGTTTGCAGGGAACTATTTGTGGCTAATTATTTTAAAATACACCACTTTTTGCCTGTGAGTCCTCATATGGAGTCTTGTGAGTTCCTGCAATATGCCTCTGCACTGTCATGAGTATTCAGAAGGTATGTCATCATAGGTGGAAATAAATCCTGGATATAACAATTTAAACAAAAGTTGTGGGTAAACATTTTTTAAACAAAATACAGCAAATTTAGTCAGAGCGCAGGTTTGTGTAAAGGGTTTGATGTCAGTTCCACTGCTCCACCCGCTGAATCTCTTCTTCGAATGCCTTATCTTTATCAGCACAGTGCTTTAGTAAGCTGTTACTAGACTGTAGCAATACACTAATTTCATGATACGATACACAATATTCACCTCACGATACAATGTATATCCCGATTTTCGGCCAAAGTGCATTACCTTGTCAGGGTGGTGACATGTTAAGTGCGCCCGTAGGTTGGTTGTATTTCCAGAATATTTCATGTTTTATCGAAACTATTAAACTTTTGTCTAAATCGACACTTCTTCCTTTTAACACTGAGGTACTCCTACACATCTGCTTTTAAGCACAACGGTGCTGGAGTTATATTCCCCGCCATTTACTTGAATCTCCTCGCTCTGACTTCTTCCGTGTAAAGGCAGTATCTAGATGGGATAAATGCTAGAAATGCTCTGCAGCAACACCAGCGGCTGGCTTACCTACGGTAATCACTCTTCCTGCTAACCGAACAGGTGAGGTGGCAGCCAGCAGAGTGCTGGGCCAAACAAGAGGGATTTTAATGAGGCTTAATGTATCGCTACCCGTTGCTGAAAAATCAATACTTTCTTGGAAAAAAAAATATCAATTTATATCCCAGAACTGATAAAATTGCTCAGCCCTAGCTGTTACCATCATTTTTTGAACTGTTAGATGAACAAAATGTAACTCTGGACTCTGGGAAATGTGGTAAACTTTGCTTGATAAGCTTTTTAATGATTAAAATTAGGACAAAGTATCGTGAAAATATACATATATTTGCAGGTGAGCTGCAGTTTAGTTGGTACTTTCACATGAAACTCCTGTTATCTTTTATATTCATACTTTAGTTTTCCTGTCTTGTACACATCTAACTTTTAAAAATATAGATACATCTCAAATCTGCATCTACAGATCAGTATGCCTATCAAACTGTTTGAAGGACAGCAGACAAAATGTATGACTGTTCTGAGTTATTAAATTCATACTCTAGCTGACAAATAAATACATTACGAAGGTAGTTTTCTTAACATCCTTACCACTAAAAAAGGTTTATATTCAGAATTTAACTATACACGATACAAAAGAGAAACATCATCAATAACAAGGACATCAAATAAACTTCAAATTCAATATAGCTGAACATATGACTAAGGCGAAATTCTCATTAGACTGAACTACAGTGTTTTTAAAATAATCAAATATTTGGATCATAGCAATAGGCAATACGCTTAGAGGAAGGCTGAGATTTGGGCGCATCTTAAGAAAGTTGATTGTCTTTAAAACAATGTTATGTGTGTGAAATGTGACAATGTGAAAATGGAAAATCTATGAGGGGACAGTATATCAGGTGCCGCGGGGAAAGACAAGAGGCTCCACAAAGTGAGTTTCCAATAACTTTTTCTTTTGAGTCAGGTAAAACTAAATCCATTTAGCCAGTAGATAAAAGTCAATCTTATATGAATGACTCCTCTAAGTCAACCTGGGATATATGATTTTAGGAAATCGCCTGTTTGCAAATATCTTTCAATTCCTTTCCAGCCTAAATCGAGTTTTTCTGGAAATTCTCTTTGTGGTATATTGCATCTGGCTGAGTGGCCTTTATTGTGCTGGCTCTCAGGTGGGCTTTTATATAGGAAGGCCGGACCCTGGGGCCCTG